AAGTTGAACTTCGGTTCGGCCCAGCCTGACCCATGATCCGTTTTTCGAACCGCGTGACGCTACTATGAAGTGAGAGTGCGCAATACGCGGCAAGACTGTCACTTGAGAAAACGTAGCATGGAAACATCACGTGCAATGATTCAATACTCTGTATGGGGAAGTCCTCATCCGTAACTGGTGGTGCCACCTTTTATATGTTACGGACTTGATGTACCTTGTTGCCTGGCCACACGTGGAATCGATGTGCGGACTAGGTTGAAAAGGTGGGTTTTATCACGTGGTAGCAATGTAGAATCCCATGAGCTGCTGGTGGCAGACAGTCTGATCTAGGAACTCAAACAGCCAAGCATCGTCTTGTTATGATCAGATTCATATCACTTCAAGATCTGTTCTGAATGCATATTGATAACTACTTTGCAGAGGCAAGAGTGGGTGGAAGGAAGCCTGCGTATTCTCAAGAGTTTCAAAAACAAGGCCATTATTGCTCAGACAGAAAAAAGTAGGGTATGGAGAAACTTGAAATTCAGCTTTCCATTCTTCTTCCGCCAACGTTTCGTGATTTCTCGGCTCTCCTCTTCGAATTCGATCTCGCGTAGCTCGGGGTTTCCACTTTGAGAGGAGGACTAGACAACATCCCGTCACCGAGCTGCCATCTCTCTCCGTCATCAAGGGTGGTCGAGGACGTCGTCGTGTAGGAGGTGGACGGCGAGTTCGTCGCAGACGTCGGAAAGCAGAGCTGCGATCGTGGGGGGTACATCTCCTCGGCCTCGCTCTGCGTGGCACTGATTTTTGCGAGCTTGTTTAGGATCAGCAACAGATTGCCATTGGCAGACGGCCCCGAGGAAGGGAAGTTCCCGGGGGCCTTGGTGCGCTCTGCGTCGGTTATCAAATTCGTCGGCAAGGAGGCGTCGTTGAGAGAGGACAGGACCTTGGACCCATTCTTCTCCCACAAGTCGCAGACGGTGGAGATGACTTCCTCCACGCCGCTCTTCAAGAATGGCGAGGCCGGAACAGCGTGTCCTGGAAACAAAATGTCCCAGATTATGTACCATGAATTACCGCTATTCATCCTCTTCAAGAGATCGCTTACCTGATGGTCCGAGATGCCTTCGTCAATCACAGCAGGTTGCGGGCTGGCCCCGCTGTGGCATTGCTGGGCCTCAACATGGCCCTTACACTTCTGCTTGTCCTTGAACCCCTCGTGGCAGCCCGTGCAGTGAAACCGATGTTTCCTGAGAAGATGCTGCTTCACGTCCTTGACCCTCTTCAAGTGAAATCGAGCACAGTGGAGGTGTGTGACTCGATCAAACTTGTAGAAGGGACAAGCCAGCCTTTTGCTAGGCGGTGCTTCTGCTTCTTCACCTTCAAGCTCTTCCTCCGCCTCTCCTGTATTATGTGGAGAAGTGTTCTCTTCTTTGAGACAACTTGACGCTCCATAGTCCCAGGATTTCGCTTGGGATCTCGCCCGCTTGCGATTCCCAATTCTACTTGTATTCGGGTCGAGGGTTTGGTCAGATGTCGGTTGAGCGGTCTCTCCGTAGCAAGTATCAGTGCTTTGCCCAGATGAAATGACATGCTCATCGTAGGTTGATTCCGTCGACCATTGGGCGGAGTTGGCTAGGACCGAGCTTGACTCAGAAAAGCTTTGCGAGTATGAACCTGACATGGATCAGTACAGTATCCAAACCATTTTTTCGTGATTTAATATACCCCAAGGTTGACCTTGTGAATCCGGGTATGGATAGCTTGGGCCAAGAAACTCAGGAAGCCCGGCGGATTGGTGTTCTCTAAGCTCGGAATACAACTCATCAGGGAGGTTCGACAGATCATCCCGTGTGAGTGCAGGGTCAATGAATGTCGACTCTGCAGGCGGCAGCAGTACCCAGTCGTTCAGGTATGTATTTTGAGACGACGTTTCTGTGTTGCTGTTTTAGTCCACACCCAAAGCTCGTACTCGACAGCCAATCCTCACCACATTCACTGGGGTCTTGTCCATGACCAAAAGACGGAAGTGGAGGCCAAGATGAGCTCGGGTCATTCCAGAATGTCGTGGCCGGCGAGGGCACGACAAAGTAGGAGCCGGATAGCTGGGATTTCTCGTACCCATCGTTTGCAGTGTCTGCAAGTGGTGGATAATGAAGACTTGGGTCCATGGTAAAGCAAGCCCTGGGGGTTGCTGACAATTACATGACAGCCGTAGCGGTCACTTGAAAATTTCCAGAACAGATCTCTCGACTTAAGGGGGCTTCTAGAAATGGTGTGTGGGATTTCCAAACTTATAAAGTCATACCCAGCCCTCCGTTTGCGCCCTCAGGATTCCAAGGCGCATATATGACCCAATATCCCGCCAATCTATTTACCAGCTATTACCACACCACCAGCTTCGCGGAACACATGCCGGCGCATAAGTTCCAGTCATGGTTTGAGATCTGGCGCGTTGTGACAAATTGGGTTGGGACACGGCTGTCCACCGACGGGGAGCGACGTGGTTGCAGATTTAGGGGGCTGTGCAGGCTCAGATAAGCCTCTCTAGCCGGGTTTAGGGAGCTCATTTGCAGCTTGAAAATGCATAGTGTCCGTTTATGGGGGCGTCAAGCATTAAGTCCCAGTCACTTCGTAGCGCGAACCAACATATAGCTCCAGCGCAAAGACGCAGAACTTTGAATTAACTTTCTCTGTATCAATGATATGATTTGGGTATCTTGTTCATCTCCTCGCAGCCTGCTCCCACGCCCTACCAAACGTCTCGATCCCAGAATGTGTTGCCTCCCTTTTGCCAGTTGTTTGTGTGAGACCGTACGCTGCGAGCGGGATTGGTGGTTCTTCCTTTGTCCAAGCCTCGAGTCTGGTGGTTCGCACAGCCCGTTGGCCGCTTTTGCCTACCCTGCTGAACAATGAGCATGACGAATTTCGGTGGGGGGGTCACCAGACTAGCACCCACCTCTTGTCTCCTGTCCGGAGGGAGTGTGCATCGTTACTCGGCATCTCGAGTTCTGAACCGGTCTGATTCCTTGGCCGTATCGTCAAGATTGATCGAATTCTGTTTGGATAAAGGTTTGTTTTCGAGAATACATCAAGGTGGCACCTCATGCTCGAGCTTCAAAGACTTTTTCAACTCTTTTCTATGTCTTCCCAAACAGTCCATTACCCTGGTTTCCTTCATCGCTGCGCAGTTTCTCTCAACCATCGCGCAGCGCAGATGTGCGCAATTGACAGCGACTTTTTGGGCGGATGCGCTCAACTCCCAGACCCCAGATAGTGCCCTGGCGAAAAGAGAAGAACGGTTCGCATTAAGGGGGGGCGTGGATACAATGTGGCCGCGGGCGTGTCGTTACTGTAGATTGCGCACTCCAAAATTGTAGAAACGAGCAGTTGCGCGTTTCTGACTTGTGAAGCTGCTCGCTCGTCGCGCGCAGTTGCTCGCGCATGACGTAGATTGCGTGTGTAAAGGTAACCCAAAGTGGAAAATGGCTTGCACCCACCGCTTGGCCAGATCAGGTTTCCGGCCTCGGGATACGACTAGAGGCTGTTTTGGCGCGAGGCAACGTCTTTGCCTTGCGCATGGGGTACTTGGCGGCTAGGGAAGCTTGAGAAGAGATGGCACGATACGATGGGTTGGCGAGGGGTTGGCGAATCAGAAGACCGATTCACTCCGAGAAGACTACGAGCTTTATCGTCGGATAAGAACCCGCGAGACTTTTACAGCGTGAGATGGTGTTTTTTTGAGTCTGCGAATCGTGAGGCGAAGGGCTAGACCACAAAAAGACAGCAACAGACATGGCACGGAGCAGAACGCCTCCGAGTCTGCCCCGGCGAGTCTGCCCCGGCGAATCTGCAATGGCGGTGCTGCATTGTCACATCCCGGCCTGGCTGGCTGGTGTTGAACCAGAGAGCGAGTGCGCAGTTGCTTGGGAAGAGCCGCCAGCACTGCAAAGTTGCCCCAATTTACTTGACACTCTTTATGGCAAACGCCAACGAGCGCGCGCGCGCGCGAGAGAGAGAGAGAGAGAGAGAGTGTGTGTGTGTGTGCCACGCCCAGAGCCGCATCAGAGGTGCTGGCGCCGGGACATCTGAGAGAGAGGAAAGAAAGTGAGGGAAAAAAAAAAAAAAAAAAAAAGACACCCCCCCCGCGGGGGGGGGGGGGGGGGGAGAGGGAGGGGGAGAGGGGGGGTGGGGGGGGGGCCAGCCCAGAGCGGGATCAAAGGGGGTGGGGCCGGGAAAAGTGAGAGAGAGGAAAGAAAGGGGGGGAAAAAAAAAAAAAAAAAAAGAGGCAACCGCACTAAGAAGGAGAGGAGGAGTCGGATTAGGATGGATGGGAAGCCTCTCACTCTTCGTTCATGTCATTTTCTCCCAGACAGATCCAATTACAGATTTCTCTCTCTTCCTTCTTTCAATCCAATCTTCTTCTTTCAATTGCCAAAAACCGCATCGCAGAAAACTCAACCTCTTGCACGTTTGCAGCCAACAGCCTCACAGCCTCCCCGTTTTGGGTTTCAACGCCTCCGCCGATGACTTCGTTACTGAGGCTTCCAGGTAGCTTGCTCTTTTCCTCGGATTCTGTGGCCAACCGCCTACCAACCTTGGGACCGACCGGCTGGGGCCAGTCATCGCTCGTCGATATTTGGTCCAACGCGGCCGACGCCCTGAGAAGCTGTCCGCCTTTGTTCAATTCGTTGTTTGCTTCCCTCTCCAAGCCGTCACAGATCAACCTGACCCACGTTCACTTTTCCCCCGCCGGCATAGCGGTGTTGCCCATTCCCTTTGGTCCTCCTCTCAACCATCCCGTCGTACAGCATGGTCAACCGCCGGTCTTTGAGCACGGTAGCGTCAAGCGTCAAACTCAAGACTCTCTACACGACGTCTTCACTTTCAACTCCCTGGCCGCCTGCGGCGCTTGCTTCTACCTTCTCAAGCCTGCTGCCGCCGCTCTGCTCGCCGACTGGGTGCCAACAGCTGCTCCCTGCTCTCCAGGCTCTCCCTGCCTAAGCCCGAAGCAGAGATCCCTGGATGTAGGTTCAAGTTGGCTCCCGCTCAACAACCCACTCGCTCATCTGCCGCCGATTCCCCATCTACTCCGGGGCTTGTTCACCAAGTCCTGGCGCTACCTGGAGCAGCTCGTGGCGCGCCTGCGAAGACCGGGCCATGACACGGCAGGCGACGGTCCCCGGGGCCCCGCGGGTTCGGCCTCTGGACCAAAGAAACGTCGCAAACAATCCTCCAGGTCGAGCGGGAACTCCACCTCCAGCGACACGAGCCGCAAAAAGAGCCGCCGTGGTGGCAGCGGGCAGAAGATCGCCGTCGCTTCCAGGACGAAAGCCAGGTCAAAGGGGAAGCTGTTCGCGTGCCACTTTTACGCCAACGACACTGTCACCCACAGCGGCTGCCGCCACTACAAATTCGAGCACGTCAAGGATATCAAGAGACACTTCACGGTCAAGAGTAGAGGCAATCATCGGCAACCCATCCATTGCGTCATTTGCTTCTCCTTGTTCGACACGAGTGATGAGCTCGGAGACCATCTCAGAGAACAAGGATGCCAACGCGGTGTTTGCACGTTTGATAATTCCGGTCTCAATGAAGACCAGATAGGCAGGATCCGAGATTTGAAAATGTCCGATCATGAGAATGAAAAAGAATTCTGGTATGCCATCTGGGACATTGTCTTTCCAGGTCAGCAGAGACCCTTTTCGCCCTACTTGGACGACGTCGAAGAGCTCGCGACACGACAACAAGTCGATCCCTGGATGGTCGAGGGCATGCAAGGCCTCAACCTGAGCGACCACGTCTTGGAACTGGTCATGAATGTATACAACAGCATCTGGAGCGTGCCTCCATCACAGCCCCTCGTCGTCAGAAGACTCGCGGTACCCCCCGTCACCCCTATGCCTTCTCAAACCTGGTTTCCTTTCGCAATGCCTCCCGGGCCAGGCAACATTTATTACACCCAACCCCCAGAGCAACCAAACTACAATTTCCCGAGCCCTGAATTCAGCTTTCCCCCTCCGGGATTCGACCCGCGACAGGCCATTCCCAACCAGATGATGGCCGATTTCCCGTGGCCGCCTCCCGTTGACGATTCTGCAATGCCTGCCGACGTGCTTGGTGCTGAAGGATACCAGTGCAACTGTCGGCGCGAACCAGGAAAGCCTCCCCAAATTTGTTATTTACATCGATAGCTTGGTTCTTTTGCACCTGCTTTTTTCCCCCCCCCCTTCCCCTGGTGTCTTCTTCATTTCTTCTGCTTCTTTTTTTCCTTTGGATCAATAATCATGGACCATGGAATGGTTATAGGGAAATTCAATTTAGCGTACCTCCTTCATGTTACTTTCAGAGATGGCGTTATACCCGCATCAGCCTACGCGGGGACTGGAAAAAAGATTCATCGAGCTTCACACACCATTTGAGGTCGCCTTGGATAGCAAAAGAGGGCACTGAGCATCGAAAATAAACGTGCAACACGCATCACAGGAATAGCATGGTGGTTGAACTGTTTCCAGGGCTATGAGTTTTCCTTATCCTGACAGCATCTGGCCGTGTTAGCAGCACTTTAGTATTCCTAGTAAACCCAGCCTCTAATCCATTACGGCCATCAATTTCAAACATTCGCGCACTTTCATCTCCGCTTGCATACCTGCTTTTTACCGTGGTGTTTCCAATCTCAATCCAGAGCCCACCCCTCCCCCCGCCAGCTTCCCGGCCTAGACAATCACATCACCATTCGCCGACCCGACATCAAAATTGGGGGCAGTCATCAACATCTCGTGCCCTTTGTGATTTAGTGTTTGCGAAGCTATTCATGTACCATACGCGAGCTCAGCACCAATGTTCTTATTCATCTAGTCGCCCAAGAGTTGTGAATACCTCTACGGATTGGCTCCCCCATCCCATGTGCGTGCCTCCACAGAAGCATTTGAGGAGTTTACAAATAGCACAGTTCCCTGGGGTCATTTGTCGGTATGTTCTCAATACAGCATACTCGGACTACCATCTCCACCATCCCCTCATCAGCAAGATGGCGCGACCATTTCTACTTGTCTACTATTTTTCAACACATTCACTCACTCATTCCATCCCTCCCTACCTCGCAAAAAAGAATCAGCCAAAGGAACGACAAACCATGGCAGACCAAGAATCGTCATCCATCTTCCTATCCATCAGCACCGTTCGCCACATCCGCGAATTTGACAATGCAATCGTGTCCATCGCCAAGGGCTGTCGAAAGCGCGTTGCAAAAGCTCATTTCGGCACCATCAATCGATTGCACGTTCAGAAAGTCCCACCAAGATGCCATGGTCGACTCGTCTAGTTGCACACCGTCGACAAGACAAGTCGACTTGGCGATGCGCGTGTGGTCGACCGGGAACAAGCTATCGTGCGTCTCTTGTACTTGATGCTGGAACATGTCGGATGGACCGCCAAAACCGCCGTGCGCCCGGTTCTCCGATTCGGGGACTGCTGCTGCTGCTGCTGCAGAGTGACCGTCGCCGCCCTCGTCGCCCCGATGCCACCGGATCGGCCCCGCCTGTGTAACATCCGGATGCTCCAGCACGTGGGCAACAGCGTCCATGATGCACCTCCGAACCAGACGCCTGTTTTCCGCCGTCAGAGGTTGCTGGAGCAAAGCCTCTCGCTGCGCCACAAGGTTCTCGACAATGTGCCGGCCGTCTTCTTCCCACAGCTCGCGGCGGATGGTGCTGGTATCCTCCACCATCTTGCCCAGAAACGAAAAGGCTGGTCTCGGGCGTCGCTGGCCCGGGCACACAATATCCCACACGCTGAACCACTGGTCCTCCGTCGACCCGTTTGGTACTCTCCCCTCCAACAAGGCGTCTTGCTCTCGTGTAATCCAGGGTGGACCTGACTCGTCGACGGAATGGCAAGAGCGTTGCACGAGGTGCGAGTCACGCTGCTCAGGCCCCGAGAATATTTCCCAGCAAATGGGACAGTAGAACTCGGGCCGGTTGTGCCTCCTTCTCATGTGCTGCTTGAGGTCCCGGATTCGTCCTAGACGAAGCATCGCGCAAGTAGGGTGCTTTTCTGGGTCTTTTCGATAGAGAGGACAGGCCAGAAATCGTTCCTCTGCATTCCCTGAGCCGCTGCTGTCATCGTTGTCTTCGGGATCGGAGCCATCCGGATCGTCCTCGTCGGGGTGTTCGTTTCTTTCTTCACTGCCACCCCTTTGCTGGTTTCGAGATCCCATGTGCCGTTTTGATGGTGGTTCCTGTTGCTGACTCCCAGACTGTCGACCACGTTTTCTGCTCGGTGCTTTCCCTTCTTTTTGTCCAGAAGTCTTCCGGCACCGGGTTGCTGCGAGTCTATTCTCGAGGTCTCTTAGAGCCTCAAATACTAGGTCGCTCATGTCGCGGTGTGGCGTTGTAGCTTTTGACGTTGTACAAGGTGGGTGTCCTGAGCCAGGGTTGATAAAGGGTAGACTACCCCCTAAATAGGACGTCGCCTCTTCGTCGAATTCAGAAACGTGTCGCCTGCGGCAGTCTCTGGGGTCCGGGACAGGGGGGCGTGATGATTGATACTTGTCGAAATGGCATTGATACTTCTTGTCGGAATGACACCCGGATTCGACGTATGGCGAATCTGGTCTCTGTTCTCCTGGAAAAATGATGTCCCAAATACGATACCAAGCCTTCACTGGGTTCTTGTCGCCCACCTGTGTTATAGCAGCGACTTGTAAAGACGACAGAAAAGCTACCGTAGGGGCCATCTCCAGAACATCCCACATCGAAAGGCGTGACGTTGCGGGCGACGGCTCTCCGGACATGTTTGCCCTCTCGCGACCAGAAACGGAATCCATCTCTCGACCCGACGAGGATTTCAGGCGCTCACGCCTGAGTAAATGCTCCTTTAGCATTGCAATCGAGGAGAATCCCTTGGATCTGAGATCAGAACAGCATGTAAAAGGTAAAGGTTCGCGTTTGGAAAAAGGACACGCAAAAAGTCTCTCTTTGCTGCTTTTGACTCGAACTCTACGTTGATCCAGGTTCCCTGATGGATCTGGCTCGTCGTCTTCGAAAGGAGATTGATCCATGTCGGAAAATGACCGTTTTCTCTTGTGTGTTCCCGACGACGTGGAAAGGGATTCGTATCTTGCGTTCCCGCCCCTCGGCCCAGACCCGTCTCGATGTTCTCGGAAGTTGGCATTTTTGATATCAAGCAGCCCAGAAGTCCCAATTGCAATCGAGTGCGAATCTTGAGGGTCTGTGGGGAAAGACTTCGAGAAAAGCCCATGCCAATGATAATTGTTTCTCACATCAATCTCTCCACAGCCATTGTTCCAGGCTGTGGGCTGGTCGCCCATGCGCTGGATCTCCATGTTGCCTGAGGTTTCGAATGGCGAGAGGTGTTGTTGAAGCGGGACTGCTTGCTCAGTAGTCAAGGGTGGTGCGAAGGCTCTCCCCAGTCCCCTTTTAAGTAGCGTGAGGCAAGGTGAGGGAGGTACTTGATCGAATATTGGGTGGCTCGTATTGCTGTCTGTCGCCTTATCTCACCCTGCCCTGTTTACTTACGCGTCAGTGGCGTCTCTCTGTCGAGCAATCAGATTGCAAGACTCGACGCAGCTAATCCACCTTGCTGCAGGACTCATGCGATGGGGCTGAGAGAGGGCACCATTGTGCTCATGGATCTTGAGCACACTGGTGCTCAAGTCATCCACATCGGGGCTAGACTCGTCAGGGAGCTCTGGACGTTGACTGGCATTTCGCCAGTTGGGCCAAAAGAAATGTAGTGATTTCTGGAAATGATTAGCCCCGAGGTGCTTTTTGCAAGTGTTTTTGAGGGGAGCTCGTCATTCCGTGTCCAATCCTTTTTCCTCGCCCGGGGAAGTTGCAAGAGCAACAATGAGCTCAAGGATGGCTAGGAATAAGCCTAGTTGCGCTGGACTTTGATTGTTTTCCATGTCTACACCCTTGGCTCGTTTATTAGTTGTTTCAGCCTTGTGGTCCTTTCGACCGTTGCTACATACTTAAGCACGATAAGGTGGAAGCTGTTTGGTGCCTTTTTGTTGTGTCTTTCCTTCCCTCTTTAAATGTCTGCCCCTCCCCCGCAATCCGCTAGAGAGGCACGGATCACCACGAATCCCCCGAAATTATGGAGACGCGGCACGCGGGTCGACTCATCGCACCGCTGCCCCTCAGCGCGCGAACCGTTTCGGGAGAACCAGCCCAGAGTCAAGGAAGGCTTGCGACACAAGAGCTAGTCGGTCGTATTCGGGTATCGCTTTTTGTGGTCCCCGACACCGTTTAACCAGGTCCCCTGGGACGGGCAGTCTAATTGAGTTGGTCCCATTGCTTTACACGTCCTCGTCCTCCTCGGTCCAATTATCCTTTCCGAAGCTTCCCTCCTCCTCATACGAACCGATAAACAACGCGTCAACGACTCAGCGGACCGATCCGAGCCAACCTCGTCCCATTTCTCCTCCTCGACGATACCATCACATTGCCAACCGCGATCCGAACACAAAACACCTCTCCCAAGTCTCCCACGACGCCCAAAAGGCGGAAAAGATGGTCTCAACACGCTCCTCCTCCCGCGCCCTCCCCAACGGCCCCGACGCCTCTTCGAGCATCCCCGCAACAGCCCGCGCCGTCGCCACCGCCGCCACAACACACCCCGAAAACACCTCGACCGCACAAGGCTGGTCCCACGCGCCAACGACCTGGACCCGCCTCTGGCTCCTCGTCTCCCTGCCCCTCGTCGCCTGGGACACGGGCTACGTCCTCCTCCGCCCCTGGACCATGCCGGGCGGCCACCTCCACTGGCCCCTCTACGTCCCCTACAAGCTCTACGGCGAGGTCGACCACGTCTACGGCTGGAAGGCTTTTCACGCCGGCAACGGCTTCACCTCGGCCCAGGGCGCGCTCAACGCCGTCGAGACGCTCATGTACCTCGCCTACTACTGGCTCTACTTCTCGCGGGGCCGCGCCGTAGAGAGCGGCCCCGCTGGTGGTGGGTTGCCGATGAAAAAGGTTGTGGGCGGGCGGGCGGGGGCGCTGGCTATTGTTATTGGGTTCAGCGCGGCTGTCATGACGTTGAGCAAGACGGTGCTATACTGTGAGCAGCATCCACCTTTAGCCCAAGCTCCCTGTTCTGTTTCTTCTTGTCCCTTTCTCTTTTTTCCCTTCTGCGCTGGGTGTTGGACATGCAAAAGTTTTTTTTACTGACGGCGACTACAGGGGCGAACGAATACTTTTCCGGCTTCGACAACATTGGCCACAACACGCCATTGGACCTCCTCTTTCTATGGATTATTCCAAAGTAAGCCAATCTCCCAGATTGACAGACAGGGTTATCCCAATGGTGTGTAGAAGCTGACATGGAATCGTAATGACAGCGGCGCCTGGCTCCTCGGCTCAGGCTACATGATCCTGTCCATGGGTGGCGAGATCGTCGACGGGCTGGCCCTCGCGTCAAAGACTATCAAGACGGAATAAAACATTGGGCCGAAACGCGCGACGCGGGGTTTGATTCCGTGTCAACTGGAAGTACAAAATTGGGACATCTGTGTGCTGTACGAAAATAGCGCGGCGAGGGGCGCTCGATTGCTCGATACGACTGGAAATGAGGTAGAGGCAACTTTGAAGGGATGGTAAATATGAGATATAGATACAAGAACATATGCGTAATGTTTGATGTGAAAAAACGCTTATCCTCGTCAGAGTGGCGTCAAGCCATATTCAATCAACGCTGCGCGGAGGACGGGATCGCCATGGTCCCAATCCACGATGGCTGCATTCCTGCAGGCACCGCGCAAATAAAGAACGCGGGGCGGGTGAGACAGGCCTCAGCCGTCAGCACTTGCGCAGGACATTTTAATGGCGAATAGGAAAAGTTCCACATTCTCAACGGACGAGTCAAACACCAGCTTTGCTATTGTCAAGATGCGTTGTGGTGTGTAGATATGTCGAGCTTTAAGTCGTATTCGCCTGGGGTGACATCCGCGGTATAGTTCAAGTCGCTATTCCAGTGGAAATTGGTTTGCATTTTGCTTCATTCTTTTGAGTTTTCCAGTAATGGGAATATTGTACAGTGTGTCATGCCATTCCGTGCCTGAACTCCTTCAACAACCCACAACGCCCGTATCAACCATCGCCATGCGCGGGCCAGGATAAGGAGGATGCGGCAGGGTATCTCGTCATATCCGAATCAATACATACAAAGAAAAACAACACTAGTAGCACGCTCGCCACTATCATTCGTACACACCTCGCCTTGGTGTCTCGAACCCATGGTAAGGAAACGCGCACAGGTAATCAGTTTAGATATTCAAAGGCGAACAGCTAGTGAGCCCCCCGAGGTCTTTGAACTGCTCCCACACAGGCTGAACGTCCATCTGCCCCAAGCCCAGGGGCTCCGCATGAATCGGCACCGAAGACTTGCGAATCTGCAAGGGAAGAGGTTCCAGCTCGTGGCGATGGAAGTCCTCCTCCTGCTGCTTGATCAGCTCCTCATAGTCATGCGCATAGCTGCCCGCGCCACCGCCAATCACACTGTGGCGCCGATTGTTGGCGGCCAACCCCGAAAAGCCGGCACGGGGCGGCGTCCCCACAAAGGAGAGCACGTTCCTCATACGCCGGCGGCCGCGCAGCGGGACAGGGCTCAGCATGGGCGACTCCTGGTTGGGCCAGGTCTTGCATGGTGCGTCGGGCGAGGTGGGCGGCGCCGTGGAATCGACGGTCGCATAACTGTGGCCGCTCATCGAGGGGGCCTCCGAGACGCCGCTCGACTCCGACGAGGTCGAGAAGGAGCGCGGAGCGACCAGGGTCCGAGGAGAGACCTCGGCGGGAGGGCCCTCCCACTTCTTGACAGCGTTGGTGCCGTTGCCGTAGCCGTGGACCACGATCTCGCAGTAGGATACCTTGCGAGACGCCGGGGCGCACTGCTCTTCCAGCTTGCGGAAGATGCCGAGAGATCGCCGGAATGGGTTGTTGCGGGACAGGCTCCGGCTTCGTGAGCGGGCCGGGGCGGCGACTGGGACTCCGCAGGTGGACTGTCGACGGAAGGCTACTTCTTCGCGGCGCGATCTCGCGGAGTAGTCAACGTCTGGTCTGATTTCAATTGTCGGCGATACAATCACAGCCGGTGTACCGTGGCAACCCGTTGCCCAGTCTGTGACCGATTGCGACCCCCGGGTGTGGGTTGCAATGTCTGTCTGCCTGCGTAGGAGGGTCTGCAGTTGGCGTCCCTCCTTCCAGGGTGGCAGTTTCTCAACAGACACGGCGAGGTGGTAATCCGCATCAACCGTGTCTCGAACCTCTGGCGGAGGCTGTGTGCAGTTGAGCAGGACTTGGTAGACCGTGTAAATCAGAATCCAGCGCACCTTGCGGGCGTCCACGAGACTAATTTTCTCGGTCTTGTCCACGCGGATGAGTGGCGAGACGGAATCCTCTTCAAACTTCCGGTAAGCCCGGACAAAGTCGTTGTCGAGAAGCCCGGGATCACGCATGTTCATCGCCTTGATCATGGCACTGTGAGCCACCAGGCGCTGATCAGGCTTCAGTTTGTCGCCTCGCGCGGTGTTCGCCAACCATTGCAGCGACATTCGCCGGGAGGCCTTGTCGCTAGCCGTCTCTGGAAGCAACGGCAGCGGATGTCGCAGGGACTTGTAGTTGCACCGGTCATCGAACTCCTGCACGCTCTGCACGGCGCAGATCCCGCCTTGCGCCAGCAACGGGCTGCTCTCTATTGAGGTGAACTCCTCATCTACGAGCAAGTCGTAAACGGCTTTGAAGTCCTTGCACATGGTGCTGAAAATCTCGGGGTCGAATGTGGTGCTGCTCCGGGTGTCGAAGGATAGCGGTGGATAGTAGCCAAACTTTGTCCGGTAGAATAATTGGATAAAGGATCGGAATCGGTCCAGGTGAGCACGTCCTCCTGCTGGAAGACCGAGATGTGTCTCAGAGAGCTCTTCTTCTAGGAAGTTCTTGAGCATGCCACCGGCCTGACTGAGCCGTGAATTCATCTCGGTCCGCGCCCGTCGAATCAGCGTTTTGGAGACCGAACCAATGTGCTGTAACCTGTGTGAGTCAAACGTACAAGCGTTGGGCCTCAGAGACATACCTGATACTCGGGGCTGTAGAAAAGCTCCTCGCTCATTCCAACGCAGTGACTGAATGCGTCAATGTACAAATCTCTAAGTTGGAAGACTTCGGCCAAGTGCAGCATAGCGAGTGCATGTTGCGGCAGGCCCTTGATGTCAAAGTACCCTTCTTCGTCGAGGTACGCAGTGAGATCAGACACGTTGTCTTGTTCGTTGCCTCTGAACTCTGTCATGCTGTTGAGAAGGCCGATGAGCGCGGTGCCGAGATGCTCGCCAACCACTGAGCGACGGAAGATCCATGCAAAGAAATTTCTCGTTGCAAGATGGTAAGAAAACGCCTGTTCTTTGTCGGCCATCGGGGGCGCTGGAATGTAGAGCTCAACTCGCTCATTTGGGTTGACGGCATTCCACCGGTCCAAATCATCATACTGGTCATGGAATGATCCCGGCGTCTCAGGCATGTCGCGAGCCATAAATCTCTTGACAAACGGATGGCATTTTGCCGAAAGCAAAGCGCCGAATGGTACCTTGAATGCAGGCCCTCTACGGGACTGCCCTTTGCCGTACAAATGTACGAAGCAGTTTCCGCCGCGAAACCACAATTCAGGGTCCTGAGACAAACATGTTAACGAACAATTCCGAGTCAAACAAAAACCGTCGTGCCAGCGAGTGTCTTTCACAAGAATGGGTCAGTTCCTTACTCTTCTCAAATTGTCCCAGTCGCTGCAGGACCTTGCCGCACCATCCCACCTCTTAACCTTTGAATTCTGAGGCATCCTTCCTTCAATGATAGGGATTCCAAGCTTTTTAGGCGTCCAGCCTTGCGTTGATATTGTCGACATTGTGCGAGTTGGCGGGAGAGACATTCGACTTCGAGAATCTCGTCGGCCGTACATGGTGAGACTGCAAGCCCGGGACAAGTCGCGGGAATAGGGACGTTGATATGGGCGATCGTTGGATAGCTTCCGCGCCGGGAAGCCTTAAACCTCAGCTGGATGCGGCCAGGGAGCTTCACCCAGATTGAGAGCTGACAGCAGTGGATGGCGCCGATGACTGCAGAGGAGGTGTTCCGGGCGGCGAATAGTCCACAAGGGCCCCTGTCAGATCTGTGTTGATCACTGAGGGGACTGAGGTAACTAGCGGGAGGTACCTAGTACGCCCGTAGGAGTGAACAATGACTTCGGATCGTCACTTGTCCACGGCTTTTTCGAACCTGGTCGAAAACAGCCGGGCCAGATGGACGAGTGAGCTCTGGTTGGATGGGGAAATGGACGCCGAAAACCTTACCAATCGTCTTTGGGTGGGCGTCGTGATGGCTTTATGTCACTTATCCCGGAGCAGAACGACTTGACACAGAATCCGGGACAGGCTGGACACACCTGCGTCCTTGCAAAGGCCCGCCAGCTTGCCCACGGTCCGAGCTGCCTGTCGATGAGTTGAGTGACGCGGCGGGAGACAGAGGGATAGCTCCAAGCCATGTTTTAGACCGGGCCGCCACTAGAGCAATGGATGAACCCCCTCAGTCCGGACCCTGTCCTTGTCTGGAGCTTCTTCTTGGACGGCCAAGCGAATGTGCCTGTCATCGACAGCTGGGATGCGCTGGCAGTCTCCTCAGACTTCTCAGGCTCTGTGCAGAGTATGGCCGTACGCAGTCTGTTCCTGAGAAACACTGCTGCTGCAGCATCCGTCAGCTCCAGGCTGTGCCACTGCAGGCGCCCCGTCCGTGAGCCGACTTCTCGCTGACAAGGGCGGCGAGAGGAATCATTTTGCCTTTCAACGGCAACATATGTTGTTTGGAGGTCTCAAACAGTCTCTGCGTCTCCACAAACGCTGCTGTGACGGAACCCGAAGTAGACGTTGGAGTGATCGGCAAGGCCAGTTGAGTTGTCTCCTCGATGACATGAGCATTCTTGCGGCTGCATCCCCTCTCCATGGGACCCTTGGAGAAGGCTAGTGAAAGGGCGGTGATGCAAAGCGTCGATGCTGGCTCGCCTCTGCACACCACCAGCCCAGACAAAGTCCGGGGGCTTGTCTTGGGGGATCGCCGTCCTCGATGCATACTTCGGCGTTTTTGGCCTTGATTCGACAAACGAGCTCACTGATTGGTCAGAATCGCGTTCCGCTTGCTCGATTGAGCAATGTCTCATGAAAAGTTGGCGACTAAACCACCGGGAGCTGGGGCTTCCTTTTGCTAATTGTCTTGGGACTATCGCAATCGGCTTTCTTCTGCTGAATCATCAAAGTCACACGGCGCACAGCAGGTGAAGTCATTCCAAAGCCTTTTAACGGCCACGATCGCATCCGGGAGATGTGCATGGGGTTCGACCGTCTTCATCTTGACGAGAGGCACCTTCGAATCTAGGTCTTGCATCCATGTAAACCTGCTGATTGACAGTTCCCAAGACCAAAAGACGTCATCCGCATGAGGGTGTTTATCACGGCGGGAAACTTCATTGTGTGAGTGCCAGGGTGCGTGGCTGCGAAGCTCTGGAGGGTCGGACGCTTCGGAGAAGTCGTCGCCAGATCAGTCCGTTCTGAGGGACTCGCGACCGATGTTGTACCACCTCGCTAGTAATGACCGGTGCTCGGGTTCTACCAGGATGGACCAGGGCAGGGAACCATCACCATGGAACGACGAGCGTGCGTTTGGATTGCCTAGCTTCATGCCGTCGGCCGACATGAAAAGCCTCTTCCCCAGTCGTTAGGGCCAGCCTCAAAACTGTTGCTTGCCGTGGTCTCGACTTCAGATAGATATTTTCCGATCCGACGTCTTCCGCATCGGTGTACCTCGCGTAGCAGACTCGACCACAGGTGCGAGGTAGTCGAGTGCCAAGATGCCGGCGTCGACGGTCTGTGAGAGTGACATGGCCACTTACACACATGCACAGTCGACGACGCCTTGACGGGCCTCTGCCCTGCGTGGAACAGCGGCTCCAAGAGGGGATGCAGGGCTTCTGCACGGCAGAAGCCGCGTTGACCACAGTCGTTCGAGTCCAGCCATCTCTCACGCGGGGCGACAGTTATCTTCCAGAAATCGGCTCAGGATCACGAGGCACAAAGAAGCTCCGGAGACGGATCCCACCGAACGAGCATGGCTCCCGTCCAGCATCGGACCGGAGGCAAGACAAGCCCAGCCATAAGGACTCAGCCCTCGCTCGCTTCGGAAGCGTTTGTACAACCTAGGCCCGGCGGCTGGATTTTGGCGTCCTGTCGCACTAGAGACGGCCTGGACCACTATCAACTAGCGCAGCGCCGGGCCGCAACGAAAACGTCGAAGCTGAAGGGAGAAGGCCCAGCCCGGTGGGACCATGGTGAACGGTAAAAGGAAACCGCAGACGAATTGGTGTCTGCCAAGCAAGGCTGGCCGGCGGCATGGCGGCCGGCAGAGAGAAGCTTAAGACAAGTGCAAGTCATATAATCCAGATGCGGGAAGCCTTTCGAATCCCCGAGCCGGAGATACCGAGCCCTGTCGTTGGAGACATCGAGCCCGTGGCGACGAGCGTGGTGACAGTTGTGACAGCTTCTTCAAGGCGTCCTTGGCCAGAAACCCACGATGGTCTGACAAGAGCCGGTTCTCAGTCTTGCGTGTGTTTGACAAGTTCGAGGCATGATGATCAGTTACGTCCGTCCATAGAGAGAGTTTTCCAATTCAATAGGCGAATTTCATATGCAGTCGAGCGCATCAACAGGCGATGGATGGCAAGCTAACGGCAATCGGAGGGACAAAGCTGAGGTCCTTTTCGGTGGTAAATCTACAGAGGGCCGAAGTGGAGGGTGGGATAGTTTAATCCCGCTGACATAAGGACGCATGTTGGAGGTGGGAGAGCCTTATCGATAAGCCAAGGTGTGGCTCCTTATCGGCTTTATCAGCCCTCCGCCCTCCGCCCTGGGCTCTGGCCGCGCTGGATTTCGGTGAGGTGAGGAGCACTGTCGCGTCCGAGAGACGGCGCCGTGCAGACTCTCAAACGCCCTTCTTCAAGCCTCTCTGCGCGGCATAGTCGCCCTCCTCCTCGTGGAACAACCACCCTCTCCAGCATTCGGAATTCACTCCGCCTTAACACTATGTCGGAGCGAAAATGGCACCTTTGACCCCCTACACCTACATCCGTTGCCCCTGCTCCGAGACTCACCAGTCCAGCGAAGACGGATCGTCGACGCCGGGGAGCCCAGAGGACGATGAGCGAACATTCGACCCGCGCGCTCCGCGTGCCAACTTCAGTCTCTATCCTCTGGAGCATCTGATGTACTGCGAAGACTGTCACCAGATCCGGTGCCCGCGATGCGTCAATGAGGAGATTGTCACCTACTACTGCCCCAATTGCTTGTTTGAAGTTCCCAGCAGCAACCTGAAAAGTGAGGGCAACAGGTATGCGCAAGGCCTTGTGTAGGAGAGAGGTGAACTGCGGCGTTTTCTAACGTCGTCATAGGTGCACACGAAGCTGCTTTCAATGTCCCGTCTGCGTCGGCCCCCTCGCCGTTACGGCCCTCGATACCCCGCCTGAGACCAACCTCCTTACGGCTGATGGGACAGCGCCTCAGGGCGGTTCCTACGTGCTATCATGTTCCTATTGTAACTGGAGCTCGACCGAGATTGGCATCAAGTTTGACCGACCAAACGGCATTCACGGGCAACTAGCCAAATTGCAGAACGGCGGCCAAGCCAAGCTCACCCCCAAGGAACACAAGGAGAGGAAAAAGGAGAGCAATGGGGAATACCACTTGGACCCGGAGGACATGGATGCCGAGCTGCAGTTTGCGCAGCTCAAGTCCTTCTATCAGAACCAGATGGCCAACTCGAATCCCTCTGCGGGCGGTCTCTCATCACTGGGTGACCTGGGCCTCAATTCGCCAAATTCCTTGTCTCGCATCATGAGTCTGTACACGGGGAACAACTTTGGGAATAAACAGGCCCGGGGTAAGGTGCAGACTATGAGGGAGGCCGTCAGTCCCGACGAGGGCTTGAAGACGACCGATCTAGACGAGTCAGGAGCCATTGAGAAACTCCGGCATACGCATCCCGACGATACAACCACCTCAGCTCAGAATTCTCTACAGCAGGACCATGTACGCTTCCGAGACGAGCTCCGACCCATCCCCTATCTCCTGAGAACGAAGCGATCCAAGAGATGCCCGCTCTGCAGACATATCATCAGCAAGCCGGAGGCAAAGATCTCCAACACCCGGTTCCGCATCCGCCTCGTCGCTGGCAGCTACATCCCCACCATCACCATCCGACCGCTGCAGTCGGAGGTCCAGAACCTCCCCTCGACCGCTCGGCCGCCGATACCCCAGGAACTGTGGCTTACGCCACTGAAGCCCGTGCAGTATCTCCTGACCTTCAAAAACCCCATCTTTGAGACTGTCAAGGTGTCGCTGGCCACCCCGTCGAGCACGCCCGGCCGGTTCGCCAGCACCGTGACAGTGCTGTGCCCGCAATTCGAGATCGATGCCAACACGGACATGTGGGACGACGCCCTCAAGGACGACGGCGATAAGGAGCGGAGGCGGGGCGAGGAGGGCGGGATGCAGCAGGCCGAGGTGGGCAAGATTTACGAGCGCGGCCGCAATTGGGTGAGCATCGTGCTGGAGGTCGTGCCGGCGTCGTTGAGGCTGGAGCCGCAGCCAGGTGGCGGCGGCGACGGCGCTTTGCGCGAGGACGAGGACGTGTTGGAGATACCCATGTTTGTGCGCATCGAGTGGGAGACGGAGGCCCAGGGCGATGTCGTCGGTACGACGGCGAGCAGGGAAAAGGAGGCGAGGGAGAAGAGGGAGCTTGCTTACTGGTGTGTTTTGGGAGTGGGACGCATCAACCAGGACTAGACTCATGAAAAATGATACCCAGTGGATTGCACTTCAAGAAAATGGCTTCGAGCAAACAATGTTCACATGTCTTAGAAAAGCTTGGAGGAACAGATTTTGTAAGAAGGAGCGGTCAAGTGTTTTTGGTATATGCATTTTTTGGGCAGCCTGTAATTGATTCGCCCAAGCTATATCCCTTTAAGACGCCAGACCCTTTTTGACCAACCAGTCATTGCCATGCTCTCATTGCAGCAGACCAAATGCCAAACCCATCATTGACCGACCATGATTCCTTTTTTAATTTTCACCATACACAAGCCCTTCCACAAGATGTTGAGTAGTCTAGTACTCGGTGGAGCCGGACTGGGGGAACTCGAAGGTGACACCGCGGCCGGTAAGCTTGCGGTAGACCTCGGAGTAGGTGTCGAGGCGGTAGTCAACACCGCCGCGTTCCTTCTCGTCGAGGATGACCTTGAGGAGCTTGGAGCCGTCCTCCTTGGTGCGGAGGCGCTTGCCGACAATCTCGACGGGGTAGACGAGGTCGGTGAGGATGGCGTCGTGGACGGCGGTGAGAGTGCGGGAGCGGGGGCGCTTCTGGGTCTGGTTGTTGCGGGAGCGGGCGGAGCGCTTGGGGCGGGGGAGGATACGGCGGGAGGCCAGGATCAGGACGTGGCGGTCGGAGAACTTCTTCTCGAGCTCACGGGTGAGGCTGTTGGCGAGGAGTCTTAGTATCTGACGGGACGGAAGGATTGGGTTTGAGAAAAACTTACCGCTGCTGGACGCGGTGGAAGCCCTGCAGGGAAGGAACGGGGACAAAGATGGCAATAGCCTTCTTGCCGTGGCCGACCTCGATCTATAGGAAGATCACAAGTCAGCATGCGAGCTCCAGGACGATGCCTTGGACCGCTTCCCGTCCTGTTCCTGAGATTATCATTCTTTTCAGCGTTCAAATCTCCGCCGCCACGGTAAGCTGGTGGAACACACACAACGTAGGAACCCCACCCCCCAACAAGACTCAAACGCGCGATTCCGTAGCTGATGATGCCAAATGTTCCTCTTCCATCCTGATGTATTTCAATCGAGAGAAGGGCTCCGGGGCTTGTCATTGCTTCGCAACGCGCTCGTCAATTGGGCGGTGGTCCATGTGCGTGTGTCTCTCCATGCTTAGAATTCCGTAGCGGCTGGGAACAGGATGTTCGATTCCGGAGAATTCGCGGGTTCGGAAGTCTTCAGGACTTATATTGGTGTATCGCTTCAGGTAGTTCTCACCTCGCGGGCAGAGACGATCTGCAGAGGGCGGAGGGCGACCTTGAGGTCGGCGGTGTTGCTCTCGAGGTCGTACAGAGCCTGGGCAATGTTCTGCTCGAGCTCGGAGGGGCTGGCCCGCGAGGGGCTGTTGACAGCGATCTTGTTCAAGGCGGGGCTGGACATCTTGACTGTTGCCGTTGGGGTTGGTTGACGGTGGTCGGGTTAGTTGATGCTCGAGCGGACGGGGTCACGAAGGGGGAAAAGTTTCCAAAGTCGATCGCGGTAGACACACTCAATTCGAGATGCGCCGTCAGAATTTCCGGTGGGTGGGTCCCGAATGATTGGGGTTTACAAGCCCTTGGATGGTCTGTGCTTATCAGCATCTTCTCTGTGTTTTTTTCGTGAGCCTCTGAGTGGGTCGTCATTCGTGAACGGATCCACTCCCAAAAGCGCGCTTGCCTATTTCGGGCACCAGGTCAGTGGTCATATAGTGGAGGGCTCGGTGAAGGGCTCGGTGAGATTTGTAGGGACGAGTTGGGTGAAATTTCCTATCGCAGAGCTTTCCTAGAATGTCATTTCTCCTTCGTTATGAGTATTCAAAGGCACAAAGCATAACATTTCGGTGACTTCTGAAGGGCTTTCAAACGTCTTGGGCTACTTGGCGGTGGTGACGAAAACTGACTACTGCTTTTGAGTAACCAAGAAGCTACGTGGAAGCATTAACAACAAATAATACTCAACCCGCTGGCTTTGAATCTATCCTTTGAAACGCCAAGATGATAGTTCATGTTTGTTTTTCAATTTTCAAAACCATAATTGCAAATATTGGTCTTGCAAATGTATCATGTGAATTTTTGGGGGGTTTCCGTTCTCTAAATTAAGTGTATTATATTGGATGAATGTATAGCTCGCCGCCTAACAAGATCCCAACCCGAACTTAGGGAGTGTGCAAGTTACTTGTATTCATACAATCTGTTCATATTTGACAAAGATTCCATCATTGTCTTACATCATGGCCTGCGCCCTCTCATTCCTCTCTTGCCTTTCCATCTCACTCCTGAAGACATTGCCCTCGGACGACGACGGCGGGGGCGGTCGTGGCGGGGGCGGCATCATCTCGACGCCCCGATCAGGCGAGGAAAAGGCATTGTCTCCGAGACCAATCTTGACGTCGGCCGTCCGCTGGCCGCGGCTCTTGCCGACGCCGTAGCCCCCTCCGCGGGACGAGAACATGCCCTTCCTGCGGCCGTACCACCAAATGAACCAGGCGATGCAACCGAGGGACAACACACCAAAGACGATGGGCAGGACGATTCCAAAAACGTTGGGCGCGCGGCGTCTCCCGTTGTTGTTTTTGTTGTGATTCTTGTTGTCGTTTTGCGAATGGTTGACGATGCTGACTTTGGCTCCCGGGTGTCGGGCGGTGATGGATCCGTTGGTCTGGGGGAGGGCGAGGAAGAGTTGGACGCTGAGGGATTCGTTCACGGCCATGTTGTAGCCTACGGCGGCCCAGGCGAAGTGGCCTTGGGATGCGGGGAGCATTTGCGAGGTGAAGCCGTGGCCTGGGTCGATGGCGCTCGTGGCGCCGTAGTCACCCTGGACCTGAACCATTGTGTTTGGCAAGGGGAACAAGCTGGTGTCCCATGTTACTAGATTCTATGTTATTGATTTGTCCACGTGTTGGATATTGTTTATGAAGAGATACTTACTCCAAAAAGTCTTTCCTCCCTCCACCTTGCTCTCGGCTTTCGGAGAGCAGAAGGGGTGGTCGACACCGTTGGCTCCTGCAGCCTGATTGCAGAGGAGGAAGGACCCGACGCCGTTGGCGTCAGCCGTAGGGAGAGTCGTGCTGCCAGTAAAGGCAGATGTGGTCTTGCCGTCGTTGACGGTCGGGGTGATGGTCTTGGTTGCGCCGTCGGCTTGGACCGTCACCCAAGGTCGAAGGGCGTCATTGCTCTGCCGAGGGAGGATGGCGGCGTCGGCTGCTTGTGATAGGACCAAGACTGTGGCTGCCAGGCCAAGGCCTCTTGAGAATCCCAAAGCGACCATGACTTGTTCGTGTACCAGAGAAAACGATTCGTTTACCAGAACGAATTTGGTGACAGTATGCCAACTGATGGCATTTATTAACGAAAGGGAGATTCGGTGTTCACTCGAGAAACCGGAGAGAATCAGACACAAGCGGACAGAGGAACAGCCATGGTTATGTATCAGGTATCAGCACTGAACATGCAAGAATGCGACGAATACTCATCATGTGTGGCTTACGCCCACGGGACACCTTGTTTCCTTGTCTTGAAACCGTGATGAGTTTGCCTTCAACCTGAGCGATCTGCAATGCAGCCTGGAAATTTCGTCAAGAATATACGGCAAGTACGGCCAGTTCATGTCAATTTGTTTTCTCTTTCTTTGGGAACATATAATGCAACCACATTCTCATCAAAGATGCTGCTGTCTCCCATCATGACAGCTGCTAAGATTCGCTTAGGATGGAAGGATGTGCCCATAGCTCTGTGAGGCTCCTCGCGGATGACAAGACGAACTACTTTACCTCACTGGTGGCGTCAGCCGAGAAAGGCAACGAACATAAGGCACCGGCACGCTGACAATGCAGGGGTTCCCCTCTTGCTCCGGTTTCAAGAGAAAAAGCAGTCTCGTCTCCCGCTGGACGGAGTGATCAGACCGATGCGTAGAGTGGCTCTGCTGGCGTGACCCTTGGGTGTACGTGGTTGCGTGCCATTGTAATGGTACAATTCCGGGGACTGTTGGGGTCCGAGCTGCTTGGAGGAGTTTGGGTGATGACGGGAGGAGGCCCGGCACTGGGCCCGGCACTGGGCCCATGGAGGTCCTGGCACCGCATGGTCCGCTGGGTCCCCTTTTTGCGCTCGTTCACGCCTCCGCGGCGACCCGTTGAGTTTTGTGAAATGGGAGTATTATCTGCAAGGTTCGGCACTTTGATCAGATTTCTCTGGCGAAGCGAGTTGGTACTTCAGATGGAACGGTGTGGCGACCGGGCCAAGGAGGGCGGGGGCCGGTGCTCAGTGAAGCCGGGTTATCGGGATTTGTGGGGACGCGTGTGGCATTCTTCGGCGGGTGGCCGGGCCGGGTTTTCGGGATTGTGCCGCAGTGCTGCGTGGCGATATTCTGTCAGCCAGGAGGACGGTTTGCGTGGGATTGCTCTCATGATTGGATAGATACGACGAAGCTTATTGCATGGTTATGTGCACAAGTCAAGCGCACACACACCTTTCATTGAGAGCAGCCTAGGTTGAAGGGGAAGATGCCGTCTTGGCCGGATTAAAGGCTGTTTGATATGCCGTCAGATGTTCTAAGCCAAGAGATCAAGATTGGCAGTCGAGATGTACGCAACTTGTGTGGCTGCATCCCCATACACACGTGCGTAAGGTACGGATACAAGTAGAAGACACGCACTGAATCTGGCCACGAGATTGATCCTTCCCCGCTTCCCTGGGTGGTATACCCAACTAGAAGTCCCAGTCCAGATCAACCTTTGTTCATTCCTTTTCGCCAAGATTATAGTCGTGTCTGCCGCCATTGACTTTTCTCCCCCGGCTCTTGGTCTCTTTGCACTGTGCAGGGTTTGAGCCATCCTCTCTGCCTTACTATGTATGGCTGAGGCCCCCTACCATGATGATCATCACCAATAATGATCGCAATGAACTCCATGCAATTAGCCTTGCCGTCACCCCAACAACCCCCGCCCAGAGCGCCGGACTATCGAGAAGGAGGCCGCACCGTCCACGCACCGTCCCCCCACACCGTCCTTTCGCTTGCGCAGTGACGTCTCTGGTAGCGCAGGCCGCACGCCGCAGGGCATGCAGCCGCCAGCGCCAGCGCCAGCGAGCGATCGCCGGAGCTTCCCAACAAATCTTCCGTGGCAAGAAGGAAAGGTGCGACATTTCCTTCACCTTGGGCCTTGGCTGCCAATGCTCCGATCTGACAACCTCCCAGGTCCGCTTACCTGCAGCAAGCTACCGGGCTCGTCGGCGCCTTTTTCGGGAATCCTCCTGCCGCTTCTATTTGCCTAAACCTCTCTCCAACTTTTCCATAAATAACCTCCTCTAATGTTTAAATCAAGCCTTCTCCCGCGCTCCCTCCCTTCCCGCCTCCTCTCCTCCCCTGCGCAACCACATCCTCTCTCCAGATTCACCATCACCACCTTTGGAGTTCAACTTCAATTTCAACATCAACTACATCACCACCAGACCTCCAGCTTCTCCCACATCGCCCACAGACGCGCACCATCCTCGCCATCGTCTACTCCTCCCTCTCACAGGCCCGACCGCAAGATGGCTGAACGCGACATTGAAAAGTATCTCAAGCAAACGCACGACCGCGTCTTTGAGAACAACCGCAAATGGGCCGAGGAGAAGAAGAAGCAGGACCCCAACTTCTTCGTCAGCCTGTCCCAAGGCCAGGCTCCCGAGTACCTCTGGATCGGATGCAGCGACTCGCGCATCCCCGCCGAGCAGATCACCGGCCTCGAGCCCGGTGAAGCCTTTATCCACCGCAACATCGCCAACATGGTCAATAACATTGATCTCAACGTTATGAGCGTCATTAACTATGCCGTCCGCCACCTGCAGGTCAAGCACATTGTCGTCTGCGGCCATTACGGCTGCGGAGGTGTCAAGGCCGCCATGACGCCCAAGGATCTCGGCTTGCTCAACCCCTGGCTTCGTAACATTCGCGATGTCTACCGCCTGCACGAGGCCGAACTCGATGCCATCAAGGAGGAGGACGCCCGCTACGACCGCCTGGTCGAGCTCAACGTTCTCGAGCAGTGCCGCAACGTCATCAAGACGGCCGCCATCCAGCAGTCGTACGCCAAGAACAAGTTCCCCATTGTCCACGGCTGGGTCTTTGGCTTCAACGACGGTCTCCTCAAGGACCTGGAGATTGATCACGAGAAGATGCTCCACGACGTCCAGAAGCTCTACCACCTCCCTGGTGCAGACTTCTAAGTGCGGTCGACCGACCGACCTGGCTGGGACGATGCACGAATTCCCAGTGCGGGGTTCAGTTGACAGGACGGGTGCGATGGGAGGGGGTGGACCGGAGCGTTTGTCCACGGTGACTCACGGATGAAGTTCGGCTCTCGACGGCTGCCGTGTGTGTGCGCGCGCTGCATTCGCCCATCGCGACTTGGGGGGAAAATTTTCTTGTTGAGGGCGGCATCTTCCACCCGTTGCAGATCCGGATGGGGTTGCTTGGCAAGACGTAGGTTCTGACCGAGACATGCCACCCCACCACAGCTGTTCATCTGGTCTAGCTTAGTGGGAACTAGAGCTGTCAACGAGCTGGGGGCCCCACTGCCGTGCATATCCGAGGAAGCAAGATTGAGAGGGAGCAGTAGAGCTTGTTAATCAACAGCCGTCACCGGCGGATGGTACCGGAGTTGAAGATTTGCGTTTTTCTTTGGGATGCGGGAGCTCTTGGGAGGGCAGAGCAGGTTTGGTGTAGAGGCGAAGTGCGCGAGGCCAAGAAAACTTGGTTCTTGAAGCTGGCAGTTTTTTCAGAGCAGGATATATCAAGTGAAAGCACAAAAATAATTAATCAATTACCCAACGCACCAGCTCTCTCCATAAGTCGTACCAAATGACACTGACTTCCAACATGTACACGCCATAAAATTCCATGCTGAGCAAGTTGGCGTGCTTTGATTTGCTAATATTTGTATAAAAAATGTGTCTATATATGTCTATGACTGCTGTAGACGTTGGCTAGCAGACTTCCTCGTCTTTTCACTTCAACTCCAATCTATTCTTCGTGAAGGTGAAGAAGATTCCTATCACATTGGCCGTCAGCTGGACAAGTGCGTTACTTCAAGTGGACCAGAGAGTGAGTGACTCACCACGAAACGTTCCACGCATGCCTGCCCTTGAGACTCTGGCACATCTTTCGGCTCCCCGTGTTATACGGTGCCACGTCGGCCGACGCCCAACCGTCGGCGCCGTACTCGCTGGAGCTCCTCCTTATCAGCTTTGCGGCGAGGGCCTTTGCGTAGCCTCGCTGTCGGTATGGTGGCTACATTCGAGGGGGAGTAAAGTTAGATCAAAAGACCAAAGATGACAAGAGTACATGCGCCCCCTCCCCTCCCCCTTTGGTGGTGACATGTAGTCATGTACAACATACCTCGCAGTGGAGACTTGACAATGAGGCGTCGGTTCCTGCAAGTTAGGATGGGTTAATACGAATAGCGGTATTCAGGGAAACTCGAAGACTAGGAAAGCCGCAACACGCACCCAGAAACGACCATGCGATGGGCGTCCCATCTCGCAGCTTGAGAACTAGACTCGGCCACGACATCAAAGTCTTGCTATATCCATCGCTTTAGCTGAGTCTCTATAAGTAAGTAAGAAAAAAGAAAAAGTGAGAGAAAAGAGAAGAAGCTTTTGAAGCCGCAAAGGAAAAAGAAAAAGAGGTGAAGAAAAAAAAGCCTACACCTGACGCGGAATCTCGGTCCTCGAAATCACAATCTCGCAATCCCGTTCCGTAGCCGGACCCCACGTGGCCCCCTCGGGCAGCGTCACCGCGTCTTCAAACTCGGGAATCTCATCGACGCGGAACAGCCACTTTTCGTACTCGTAGTCCTGGCGGGGCGTCACGCGCGCGCCGGTCCGGATCATGACGTCCCGGACGGCCGTGGAGAGGGTCCCGACGAGGCACGCGCCCGGGTGGCCCCTGTTGTCTGGCTGTTCTCTGCTGACTTGCGCTACGGCGTGGAGGACTGCTGCGATTTGCGACTCCGCGGTTTTCGTATCCTTGTCGTCTCCGGTGCTGTTGCTGTTGCTGTTGCTGTTGCTGTTGCTGTTGAGGTTGTAGTTGTCTTCCAGGGTGGAGTAGAGAAAGAGCTGAGTCTCTTTGTTGCTGCCAAAGTCTAGGTACGCCGCGGAAAAGTGGCGTGGCGGTTGGTCCAATGTCTTGTCGTCTTGCGGCGAGGAAGCCGACGGAGGGAAGGGTGAGTCTGAGGCGAGGATGATGCGGGCTGTTGGGCGCATGCCGCCTTTGAAGCGGGTGCATTGGAGGCGGCGGAGGACGGGGAGGGAACTTGGGAGGTGGGTTTCTAGGAGGGGAATGAGGCCTTCCGGGACGGAGGTGTATATTGTTGCCATTTTGACTTTTCAATCTTGTTTGATGCTGATGGGAGTGGCCAGTGGGTTGTGGGATATCGCGTGCTTGGGCATCTGCAATGGCAGGCTTGGAGGTGCCAAGTTCGGCAGATTATATATCCGCTGGAGAGACTCAGACGCAGTATTACTGCAGATAGTTAGCGGCTGTAGCTGGAAGAGGCAGCTCTCAATTGCTAGTGACTCATACGAACTCGACGCGCGACACAGTCACCCAACCCTGGATGATGAATTCATGGCCCAAGCGAGTTCACTCTGCGACTCTGGCATATAGAAATGGGATCCAGTACGGACCATTGAGGCTTTTTTTTTTTTTTTTACCGAGTTGACCTGATTTAGTACATGAGAGATTTAATTAAGAATACAAAAGTTAGCTGGTTAGAAGCTTTGATGCCGGCCTCCAAAGGTGCTTTTTGATAGCATCTAGGAAATTGTCAAAATACTCATGGGCAGATGTCGAGGACATTGAAACATCACATACCTTTCATGCTACTTGGAAATAATTAGACTTAGTGATCGGATGAATTGAGCTGCACAAATCATCTAATGGCCGCAACCTCATCGGAGACCAAAACAGCGAGGTGGACAATGGCTGATATGAGCAATCTCTGTGTTTGTATGTCTGACTCTGTAAGTTGGGCTTTCTGTTCTTTAAATGTGGCAGCTTCCAGCTCGTTCCCTTCGCTCTGCACACCGAGCATGGTACACAACCCTCTGCTAGAACCAGCAAAAGTTTTGCTAATCTGGGGCAAAGCAGATGAGGTAAATTTGTTGAAAAGAAGCTCAATATGTTTATACCGGATACCAATACTTATGTATTCGACGAAGATCTCGCAAAACACCACGCGGCGTTTTGGAGACGGAATCAAAAACACGTTAGTACACCCAGTCATTGGTTCAAGTAGGGACCAGTGCATTTCGGCCTCGAATGTTGCGCCCCACACGAGGGGGGACCGCTCAGTGAAAATCTCAACTGCATGCCTCTCTAAACTCAGTGATTCGTTCGCTGCATCGGCCTCACTTCGACGGGAAAACAAAACACACAAAGATCACAAAAAGAGACTTTTCACAAGAAAAAAAAAGATGGCCAGCTACGACCGCAACGTCGTCGTCAACTGCCTCAAGAGGCACTACGAGCTGCTGGTGCGCATGGGGTACATGGACGCCTCGGCCGTCGAGCTCCCTCCCGCCGCCGGCTGGAGCGACGCGGAGCTCCGCGTCGACGCCCTCCGGGCCATGGGCCGCTCTGAGACCGTCATTGATCTCCTGCGGCACATCCCCTACGTTCATGAGAACGAGGAGGCGGATCCTGTCGAGGTGTACACCGAGACGTTCCCGCTCCGGTACCTGCGCAACGGGCGGTGGTTTGGCGGCGGCAACGGTAGTGGTAGCGGCGACAGCGGTGAAGAGTTTGCAAACACGCCGCTTTTGGACCTTGGGTTTGCGCCGTTTGACGGGCCTGTGCCGGCGGATATGGTCTCGTTGACGCATGCGGATGAGGGCACCTGGTGGTTGATTGACACAAGTCAAGGTCAGCTCAGCTTTGCGTGAAGCTTTGTTTGTTTTTGCTGGCTCGAGCCTTTCGAGTGCTCTGTGAAGCTGACGCAAGGACTATTAGGATGCATCTACCCGTATGGGACCGAGTTTGACAAGCGCGAAGAGGATGTTCCCGTGGACAAGCAGTGGCTTGTTGTGGATCCGGTGCCTGTCCAGGCTTACTTTGACAAGATTTACTCTCAGGTCGGGAACTTGGATGTGGTGCCGGCGCCCCGCTCTGGCAAGTGGGAGGCGAGAGTTGTTGAGGAGTACACCGAGGAAGGCCAGGTGAGTTCATCGGCAACGAAATCCCAAGGTAGATTCGTGACTAATCTGGTTCTTTTCTCTCGCGTGATATAGGAGGTGAAGAGGCTGTATCTTGAGCACGGGTGGCCTAATGCTTTCCGCAGAGAGGAGTTCATCCAGGCTGTTGAGAGAACTCGGGCGTCGTTTATTGAGGCTGGGCTGGGACATGATGATGATGATGATGAGGATGATGAAATGACCGGTTAGAAGAAGAATAATATTTCGAATGTAAGGTACTAGAGCTTGAAGACACAAAATGATCAATTGGCCAATGATAGGACCCAATTGAGGTGATTTAGCGCGCACGGCCATGCTGTCATACTTTGTAACCGTGCTGGCTTAAGATTCTCTTCCATTAGTAGTTGAGCCAAACCTCAGAACGGCCGAGACATCTTCCCAACCAAAACGAATAGTGACAGGTATCGGATCGCGGAAGATGGAAACGGATGACGGAAGCTCACACCATTACATCCTTATCACATCCAAAGGAAGTGTGGACTCTCTCAGGAAACACAGCCATCTTCAACCCCACAACCCCAGCCGAAAGCCCGGCAGCCGCATCACTGACTAGCATCTTGAACGGGGAGGCTGGGCCCATTGGCGAATGTTTCGTTGGCTAATTGAGTCGTCTACGTCTCTTATCGCATCTTATCGCTTTCCTCTGGCTGCTCACATACTGAATTCACTGGATTTACAGAGAAACCCCATGGTCCCCGGACCCCAGATGTGAACGCCGACGATATCGGAGCGACCCCGACTTGTTTCCCCCTCGCTAGATGACATCGATCTACGCAATTCCCGCAATTCTAGCGTGCTCGCTGCCCTGGTCGCTTGGGATTTCTCCGCTCTGCGGGTTCCTGAGTCAGGGAGCTGGCCTCTGTTAAACCCTCATCTTCACTGATCAATGCTTCGAATGGGTTGACGTTGTCTCCGTCGCGCGGCGAGAGGTTGCTTTCTGAGCGGGTCGCCGGGAAAATCATCAACCTGACAGCAGAGAGGGGAAAAGCGGACGACGACGGGAATCGAAAATGCGTTTAAAGCTCCGCGATGGCCGGCCCTACCCTTCGGTGGTGGTCTGTTCACTCATCACCATCTTTTCTTATGGTCAAGCAGCAGCAGCAGCAGCAGCAGCAGCAGCAGCAGCAGCAGCAGCAGGACTACCCGGAGACGAGGGATCGAGCACGTCGCCAAACATGAAGTTCTCCACGTCCTTCAACACGCTCTTCGCGGCCTCGCAGGTTGCCATCGCGCCGGCCGCCGCCGCGTACAACCCAGTCGAGCTCAAGGGCTACGGCAAGTTCACCGGCACCGTCATCAACTCGACATACAGCGGCCGCGCCCTGCCCGCGCCTGTCGACGCCTGGCTCGGCATCGACTACTCGACGCAGCCGGTCGGCGATGGCCGCTTCAACCCCGTCACCTGGCCGGCGCCTTTCAACGGCACGAAGCCGGCGACAAGGTACGGCAAGACCTGCGTCCAAGACCCGACCTCGACCGATGTGAGCACCCAAGACGAGGCCTGCCTCAACTTCAACGTCTACCGCACGCGCGGCATCCCGCTCGACCAGAAGACGCCCGTCCTGGTCTGGATCCACGGCGGCGCGTTCTACGCGGGCAGCTACAAGAGCTTCGACGGCGCCGCCTTCGCTGCCTCGTCTAAGGAGCCCATCACCGTCATCAACTTCCACTACCGCCTCAACTCGCTGGGCTTCCTGCCGTCGGCCCTCTTCGACGAGGAAGGCCTGCTGAACCTCGGCATGCGCGACCAGCACTTCTTCCTCCAGTTCGTGCAGAAGCATATCGCCGCATTCGGCGGCGACCCGGACGCCGTCACCATCGGCGGGCGCTCCGCCGGCGGCCACTCTGTCGGCATCCTCTACTTTCACAACTACAACGAGGACGAGGGCAAGCCCCTCTTCGCCAGGGCCATCCACCAGTCCGGCTCCGTCACTGCCCGCGCCTTTCCCAACGCGACATACCCCCTCTACGTGCAGCAGTACGAGCAGTACATTAACTACCTCTCCTGCCCGCTCAACGCCGACAACGCCGCGACCCTGGCCTGTCTCCGCGCCGCGGACGTCGACGCGATCCGCAACATCAGCACGAAGCTCTACAACGACTACGACCCGGCGCTGACCTGGCCCTTCCAACCTACACAGGGCGGGCCCTTGCTGGAGAAGTTCGGCTCGCAGTCGGGCTACGACGGCACCTTTTTCAAGGTGCCCGTCATCACCTCCAACGTCAACGACGAGGCCAAGTACTACATGGCCGGCGACAAGGAGACGAACCAGGAGTTCCTCGACTACCTCCACAACATCTCCCCGGCCCTCAACAGCACCGACCTCCGGCTCCTCGAGGACCTCTACCCGGACCCGGTCACGCACCCGGATTCCCCCTTTGCCCACTCCCCCAACAGCACGCAGTACAACCGCCTCTCGGCGGCGTGGAGCGACTACGCGTACATTTGCGCGGGCCAGGAGACGGCCTACCGCGCCTCCATCGCGGGCGTGCCGACGTGGAAGCTGCACTTCAACACCAACAACTCATGGCCCGCGTGGCGAGGCATTCCGCACACCGCGGACACAAAGTACACCTGGGACGAGCCGGTCGTGCAGTACCCCGAGGTCAGCCACATTTACCACGGGTACCTGTCCAGCTTTGTCTTGTCCGGCGACCCCAACACGTACAGGTATCCCGGCAGCCCCGAGTGGCCTCAGTATAAGCCTACGGGGTACGGACTCGCGTCGGAGCCGCCGCTGCAGCTCATTGTTCAGCCTAATAACGGGACAAGGGTGGAGAAGGATGATATTCGGAGGGAGGCGTGCCTGTACTGGAGAGATCCGGAGAGAGCTCCTCGCCTGAATAAGTAGATGTGAAAAAGGGTGAATAATATCAATAAGTTTACTTGTCACGGGGTTGACGCTTGTATACTAGACACTACCCACTCAATATAGATTTGGGTGATACAATGTCTTCTTTCTGGTCAGCCCTGAGACTGCAGCCTCGTTCCGTATGCAATGGCGTGTTGCTTCCGTCCATTGGCTGTCGGTGCAACTTTGGACTTGAAGTGATTGGAGCGGACATTTCCGCGTTTGCTGCACTTCTATCACACAAGACCACCCACCCGCAGGGAAGTTTAACGGCACATTTGCGCCGTCTATTTAGGTTGTTAATAAGCTAGCATAACCTTCGCGTTCGCTTCGTTTTCCACTGATTCACTGAGGACGGCGAGATTGCTTCTGGCCGCTACTTTTGAACTTGATCGTCACTGCAATCATTGACGCTTTGCCGGGTGCTTCCGCGATGATCGGTGTTACCAAAACGTCTGGATCAAGATCTGCCAACATTGCCCGCTTCCCGGAAGACACAGCGGCCAAGCGACCGCAAAAGAATGACGCCGTGAACGCGCGCAGTATCACGGCCAGTTCTACCTCACCACACCATGAGAGTGGAAAAGGTTTGGGTTTTCAACAAAAAATCTACATCAAGGGTGTCGACCCATTGCTGGTCGACAATGACCTCGCGCTCCCGCTACGTACGCTTCCCGGCAGGGGAAAGTCAATCGCCGCATCCCTGATGAATTCAGGGATTGATCATCCGGTTTTTGCGTCAAGCTCGGGTCCAGAAGATCGGAGAAGGGTCGAGGACCGGATCGCCCAGAGAAGGGTCCAGAACCGGATCGCCCAGAGAAACTACAGTAGGTCCTCAACGAGTGGCATTCCCCTCTCCTAGCTGGTTTACATCATATCGTGCGACAGGCCGACAAGTCCAGATTTGATATTACACGTAGCATGTTAACAATCTTCCAGGAAAGAAGCTCAAGGAAAGGCTCGAAGAACTCGAGCGAAGAGCCGGCTTCGAAGGGGAAACATGGAGCTCGACGGATGTGATCGAGCATGTGAGCTATTACTGTGCTCCCTTGCCACCAGTTTCAACCTTCGAGCTGAAATCTCGGGAATGGCCTGAAGTCTCAATGGCTTTTCAGAATCCCTCCTCAGTGCATCTGCCTACCGAACAAGACCTCTGCTTTGCGCGGATTGCTGATGAAAGTGACGACAAGAATTCATCTCTTTCCGAAGCATCAGAGGCAGTTTCCACTTCTACGTTGCCACCAGGCCATCGGTTTCGATCGACCAAACAGCAGCTAGTGAAGGATTGCCTGTTAAGTTTTGCAGAGTGGCAGCAGTGCCCTCAGAATTCGAACAAACGTACCGCGAATCCTTCGGCATCACAGGCGCAGAAGTCGAGCAAGAGAGCCAAGCGAAGCGAGGAGGAGAAGGGAAAGAACGACGACGAAGCGAACGATGAGGACGAGGATTCTAATGCCAAGGCAGCGGGGGCTTCAGCAGTGATCCCCCTCGAGAAGACCAAGAGCATCATATTCGCATGCCCTTTCTACAAAGAGGATCCTCTGAGGCACCTTCAGTGTCTCAGAATCGAACTCAAGAGGATCAAAGACGTCAAACAGCACCTCAATCGGAAACATCGACAACCGTCGTATTACTGTCCGACTTGCTGAATGGTTTTTGACCAGACAACGGATAGAGACTTTCATATTTCACAACGTGACTGTCTTGGGCAGGTGCAAGTTCGCTATGAGGGGATCTCCGAGGAGCAAAGCAAGCAGCTCACTCGAAAGGTAGACAGACGACTATCCGAGGAACAGCAATGGTTCACTGTGTGGGACATTATGTTTCCAAACGTGCCGCGTCCAGATTCGGCCTATCTAGGAAACCAGATTGAAGAATCCATGGTCATGATTCACGACTTTTGGGACGCCAGCGGAAAGGCTCTGGTATCCAATGCTCTTTACCAACGGGGACTGATACCAGACCCATACGTGCCAGATGAGGATGTCGAGCTCGAGAGTTTTCTGGCCGAGACGCTGGAATCTGTGGTGGAAGAGTTGCTGGTTTCCTGCCGAACGCAAATCGCGGCGAATCTTGCCAGGTCGAATCATCATTGTCACGAGGTGTCATTAGCTTCAGAAAGGATCTCAACCTCGGATTCTGGGGGGACAATGCAAACCAACGACACAAATGAGCAGATTCAACAAACTGTCGACTCCGCCTCGGCAGGTGAAAGGAGTAAGGCACAAGAAAAGCTCGTCGGCTGCGACTTTCTGACAGGTCTTGGATTGGTTGAGCCCCTAGCGGGTCATGACACCTACGGTGCTGCTGAAGGACTACAGTTCGACCTGACGCACGACTGGCCTACAGGGGAAGAGGGCTTCACAGAATTCGGTGATCAAGATTGGGAGCTATTAGCGGGTATGGATGATTTCCTGCAAGTTAAAAATTGATAGTGGCGGCGTCTTGCTGAACTTGAATCGCATTTTGTTAAAAATTCCGAAGCCAATATGCGAGCCTATTTGGTCTCACATGAACCATGGAAAAGCCGCCGGAATCTTTCCATGCCACCAGACGTCTTCGGTGCCTCATTAACCGCTTCTAACAAGCACCTAGACAAATTGAGTAATTGCGCTGGTTAAGTAGCATATACGTCGTGAATTTAACACAATTCTGCAATCTATAGAACAAAATCATGGTTCCTTTCCCTTCACTTTTGGCAATTCGAGAAATCTCGTTTCGCAAGCCTCCAACGAACTCCTGCTCGGAAGCCATCGCTGCCTTGTCGTCTTCGTATGAGAGCCCTCCTGGCGTATAATATCACCAAAACAAGACAATTGGAGGCTGCATGTGATTATGAATATCACCATCTTTTGATTTTGTTTCTATGCTAGATAGGCACACTGCATTAGTTTCCCCGCAGAGCTAAGTTCCCTTGCCCGCCAGACGTTATTATCATATCGTCTTGTACGTCCTATCTTAGTCAAACACTAGTGGGAGCATGGTCCAAGTACTGAGGCACTGTAACTGCAAGCGAATGCTCCATCCATGGTACCAAATAAGATAGGGGGACGATCTGTGGGCTTCATTTGGCCAAGTGCTAGACTCTTCGAAACTCTCCGTTGCTTGACTCTCTAGATTATCTTCCGATTATGACGTAGATGAAAACATCCTAGAAGTTCCTGTTTTGAGACACATAAGCGGTGTTCTTCAAGCCTTGGGGAATCCAATCCACCCAAGTGCCCGAAATACACTTTTACATGATAGCCGATTGATGAGAAAGTTTCAAATATGCTTGACGGCGGACGTGGATTCTCTCGGTACGAACTGGTTGTGGATGTTTGATGATTACTCAAATGGCCGTGTCAGAAGAACCTCGGCATGTGTAATATTTACAGCGGCTAATAGCAAGAATTCTTGCTGATAACCCCCGAGTTGTATGTAACACCATCTTGCTTCACCATCTTGAACTGCTGTGACAGTTCGGGGGTAATACCCCTATTTCGTTAAAAAATATTTTTCTGCGTGACTGACCCTTTTCCATTGCCTCCTAACTCCTGGGGTATCATGAATATTCGGTCTTTCCTGTCAAACGTACCACGCAACATCCTGATTCTGGCCCCCAACGGTGCTACTAGAATCCTGACGACTGGTCCTTGTCTGTCGCGTCATATCCAGCCCAGGTATACCACCCGGTTCGGTTATGTGACGGGAAAGCGAGCGAGGGCGTGGCACAGCTGCTGGCTCTGCTGCCCTTCCCGAGAAAGTGTTGGCCTGCACACCAAGCTCTAGTTCTGGCCCTGTGGTTTTGCTTTTGGGCTGTACTGTGTCTGAGCTCAACTTCCATCTTCCAGCCACATAAGGCATCGAAAATCTCCTCGACCTTGACATTGAAAGCGAGTTCTTCTGGCTTGCGTCTGGCGCTATGTCGTTGCTGTCTCTTCTTGATTCGGCATGGGGGCGCATAGGGTTCGAGGCCTTTACGATCTTTGCAATCAGATCTGCCATGCCCATTTCGATGTGCAGTTTCAGCAGGTAGGCCAGCGGGTGGAATTGAGCATAACTGTAACGGTTAGCAGTGGCACAGGCCTTTTGAGTAGAGGTCACATACATGAGGGTATTTGGGAGAGACATGAGTCCGATGAGAATGATCTGGGGGTTGGAGGGTAAGTCTTGGATTCATTTATATTCGGAAGACAATCAGACTTACGTCAAGTGACATCGAGACCCCAATCATGGCCAGATTGAACCTGAACAATGCCGTATACTTGGTCAAGCCGCTGGCAATCAGCCGCGATTTGACCAGATAAATAAAGGTGAGGTTTAGTCCGGCATCCACGATAAGGAATATGCCCTTTTCTATCCTATCCCAAATCTCATTGATGTGAATATAGGTCGAGTTGATCTGGAGACGAGCTGGAATCCAGATGCAGAAGACGCTGATATTGACCGCCAAAAGTATGCCAAACACTCCCCATTTCAGTCGCGTGGCCTGTGCGGGTATCGGCATCAAGATTGCGATTCGGTTGACGATGATTTGCATGAGACATTGGACCTGGTGTGTTATTGATTAGCTCGTGTTTGAATTCAGAAACGAGCGAAAGCCTGCTAGAGGATTTACCTGAATAGACCATAGAATAACTTCACCGACACTGTTAGCATGGAAACAACGCCCGAGCGAAAGTTCCGAGGCACTTACGTAAAAAGAAAAAGTACTCAAAGCTATCAAAGGTTAGACATACTGGAATCTCTGAGAGGATGAAGTAGAGAGGCCCACCTTGGGTCAATGATGGATGTCAAATAGCACCAAGATATGATGCCAATGACCACACTGGAGATCCATTCCGCCCAAATCAGCCATATGTATATATTGACTTTGCGAGTCCTGTTCCAACTGGCTCTGCTTTGTCGATAACCCTTGACTCCGCTCCAAAGACCGACTCCAAGTGTGAACCCCCAAAACATACTCGCTATGTTCTGTTCATCGTTCGTAGGCGTCGAGGCCACATACCACGGAGGTATAAGTGTTCCCGCCATCGAAGAACTGGGCCTCGTATTTCATCAGATGTCGTCGTTCTCGGTGGGTTCCCTGGTATTGCTGTTCCGTCTTCATCCTCCGGCGAAAGAAGTGGTATTGAAGGGTGGCTGAAAAAATTGGCAAGGTTTCAGACAAAATGTCGGGGCAGGGCAGTCAGTCACTTTTGAAAAGGTAGGACCCATTGACCGCTGCTATTGTAGGAACTTCAGCGACTGCACTAGTCGCGATGGCGGGCGAATAGCAAGCTAAAGCACGTAACGGCGAGTGGGAGCACGGGGGAAGGGTTATTTTGAAGGTTGGGTGTGGGCGGCGCGACACAAGCGCAGAGCATGGCCAACATGTCCTAACCCCGACTCGGGAACGTCACCGCTAGGGCCCAGATTCTTGACCTTTGGACCCTGCAGGTGTCAACTCGCCTGGCAAGCCTGGTACTCGACTTCTCCATCCGTTGGTCCCGGGTTGCCAGAGTTCGTTCGTAGAGTTGCCTGTCTTGGGGGTCGGCATTTGAAAGCCCGCCATCTAGAGGTCTCCTTGTCCCCGGGCAGCCGGTTGCCGGCTCCTCACTCTGGGGGTCTGCCACGCCGTCGCAAGTTTGAGGGTGGTGGCGATGATCTCCGGACAGTTACGCCGGGCCCCTCCCCCCTGAACCACACATGGATACTGCTATCGAGAACAAGGTAAGGGCTGGCAATTCGCACTGGCGCGGAGGCAAAGATCGTGGAGTGCCTGACGGTGCGATGATCGGACCAGGAGCCGGGGCAACCGGCCTTCAGCTAGTCCTTGATTCTTACTTAGTACGCAGACGCAGCGACTAGTTGCATCTCGTATATCATATTGTAGCCGCGAATGATCCAAAACAAAGTTTTGGCCTTAGCTTTGGGAGCGGTTTGCTCCCCGTTCCGTGCTTCTTTCTTCTCACCTCTAACAATGTTGGCCCAAAATCACAAACATCTGGAGAATCAACTCCTTTCAGGGTAATGGGCCCCTCAGTCACCCGCGAAAAATAGACTTTTAGTCCGCAGGAACGTGCGTCACTCCAACCCAGATCAGCACGAGGGTGCAGAAGTTCCAGTACTAAAAATGCGAGTCAGGGTTTGCACTGTCGTCATTACTAAAAACTAAACAGAGTTCGTTCTAAAGCGTCCGTCCGGCACCACCGTTTTTCCAGCGGAGAGAGACCGAAACCACCAGACGCTTCAAACGTCTTGTGGGGAGTGATCCGGCGAAGGTTCATCGTTTGTTTCGCGTTTTCTAATCTGTTCGATGGGCTCGTTTTACAAATCATCAATTTCAGAGCATTACTCTTGAAAGGATCATGTATCTGAGTGGATGAAGATTCTCATGACTCAATTTGAGTAGACGTGATGACGGCCGAACGTCATTTTCTGCGGAGGTTTGGAGATTTCTCCACACGTAGATCTAGCCTTGGTTCTTGAGAAAAGATAGGCGTTTGGATGGAGCGACTTATCGCATTCCGAGGATCGATTTCTGGAGGATTCATCCGTCCTCTCGCAGCGAGCCGGGCAGCTTCACGAGATGACAGAGGCTGGGCGATACATCTCAGTTCTGCTGGAAACTCAGCGCCAACAAGTTTTTGTGTCTTTGCGTCTGTCGTCAACCTTCCACTCAATGTTGCTATTATAAGGTATATATGGCGTCCATTAATGCGCTTAAACAACGGCATCGGCTTTGCGACAATGGCCAAGATCAACAGCCACATTTCAGTCACTGATGTGTGATTCAAAAAAGATGATATACCTAGACCCCTCTTATAAACCGGCGCTGTCAAATCGCAATCCGAGATGCGCAGTGAAGGAGCTATACCTATTAAGTTCCTCCTTGGCCAACATATCGTGCGTTTCGTCTGGATCATCAGCGCGATCCGCACCCGCGACTACGTTCTCGTCGATTCTTTATCTGTGATTCATTAACACTCGATGCCTTGCATTCCATCCCGCTGGTTGGAGAAGGGGCCGGCCGCATTTCTCTTTATTGTTTTATGGCAGAGTCTGTTGGTAAACCTTCCGGAAAGGACCCAGAGTCGACCACGACTGTTGAGAGATCTGGCTGATTTCATTCGTTCGGGTTGATGAACTCTCGTGAGTAATACCCTGGGCTGCTCCAACCCGCCTGCAGAACTATATGCGGGCTGGAACGGGAAAAAGGTAAACCAACAAGATCAAAGAAGGGGTGGCGATTATTTTCGACTTCCTACATCAAAGACTTGTGTGACCGCTTGTTGGTACGCGTCTTCGCATTTAATTACCACGATTTAACTCTTTACAGCACCCCGTTATTGAAAATGACTAAAAATGAGATGCCAATACTGAGAGGCGAGACCACCAAAGGAATAAAAATGCCAGGAGAGGCCAGTTACTAACTTATTGTGCATCTTCAGTATCCATGCGTTTTCTACTGCCTGTTTGAGCAAAAGCATTGCCGAGTAATGCCGGATCCACGGACGGACATATACTCAACAAAAGAACTGATTATCGGGGGCTACGGCGAACATCGAGGACTAGATCTATTGCGGCGCTTCAGATCCGATACGAACCGTGGCTGGGACTGGTGGTGAAGAGCCCACTGGTAGGCTGATCGAGCCCAGACCAGCGAAATGAGGATAAGGAGTAAGCAGATGTGGGAACGTTCAGATACCTACCTGGCTGCGTCTTGGTCTTGGTTATCCGTTTCGACTTTGATTTCTTTCGGAGAAACCGACCCTACAGCTGTCGTGGTATATTGCATGATCGGACCCGAGAACCAGCAAGCACCTCTTCACAGGATCAAGCAAGCGTCATTGACAATCGAGACCAAAGTTCTGGAGTCACCATCGGAAACCTTCATCGTTGAAGAAATATTCGATCAAGACAAGATTCACCTTCCACCGAGGCAGGAAAGGTTATATGTGGAATTGGGCCTATATGAGAAACATGAGCTCGCTAACAAATGGCTCAATGAAACAGGCAAGGGGCTTTTGAAATCGCATGTCAGGCTTATTGTGTCGAGGAACGAAGATGATAGGTCTTACAAGCGACTTGATGTTTTCGCGCCTTTGCGCAGGGTAGGAAACGAGACACCCAAGCTTCCATATATACGGGATGGTATTGCAAGGCGACCTTCAGTCACTAGGTCGCGTAGATACGGTTTTCGAGCTCTTGAAGTCAAGCTACGCAAGAGGGGGAAGCAATGGCGGGAATCCAAGGAGACAGACATTGTGATCATATGAGATCCAGCGCCTGAATTTAACTCCTGACTCAGTGACAGTCAACAGGTGTTTATCTGTCTCCTAGTACGGCGATAGTTCACCTTCTTCTCACTAGTATCCTAGATACGTACTTTTGTCAGCTCGATTGTAATGTGGGTTATTGTCATAACCATCCTGCAGATAGATGCTCCTCGGTTTCGTGCGAATGAGGATGTATTCAGCAATGACTGGCGACGTGATGTTATGTGAATACTGAATCGAGGCACAGCTCATGTCATCAGTACTCCCTAGCACTGCATCAGCCATCAAGAATAACGCCAGTACGATCTTAATATCTTTCTAGCACTCGGGGAAACCAACAAGAACTTGGCTTGGTTGAAGGCCACATGCGGATTACTTTACCCGCTCTGGAATTTGTACTTAGAGCGGGCCAGAAGAAAGGCGTTGCAGTATCGAAGTTGGCCCGAAAATAGATTTACTCCTTCGGACGTTGCTTGTTTGCTTGACATTAGCACAGCCAGAGATTAGCAGTACAGTGCATCTGTGTCGTCGGACCCTCCATCACGTCACAGACCTTCCGGGATTAGCCTAGACCATGCAACGAATATTGGAGAAATGATGTTCTTATTCGTCCGGGGAGGCGGGCTCTCGCTTCGATACTTGGCGACTCCGGCCCCGGTTTGTAGCCACCAACGGAACGCCTGTTAAGATGCAAGACAAGCACCCACGTCGCAGAACCAACAGAAAGAAAACGGAAGGCGTTCAAAAGAGGGGTTGTTCCCAGTTTCGTGCGTTGAATCTCAAAAAATTCGAATGACTGTTCATAATCTTGACTTCTTTCCCACTGGCAGCTCTGATCATTTTGAACAAAATTCACCAACTCCGACATGGCATCAAACCAGAGCTCGGAGCTGCAGGCCTCGGTGGCGACAACGGCTGCAAAGAGCCCGTCCTCCAAAGGATCGTCTCCACCAGCGGCGGGAAGCTCACCTGCTGCCAATGCCAATGAGTCTGAAGGAGGCCCAATCGTGGCTGTGAGTCGAAACGCCGTGTCGTTGCTACATAAGTAGCTCTTGGGGAAGCCACATCAGGATGCCGATTAGCTGATCGGCTTTTCAATAGGACCCGGCCTTTGAGCATGAGGATTTGACTGAAGAGGAGACGGAAAGGCAAGTCTTGCCCAAACGCATACCAGAGGATCTGGAAGACAAGCTAACCCATTAAACAGCATCCACACGTCCTCGACTGCTTCGTTGAGCGAAAGTATAACTGAATACCGACGCATTCTTGGGCGGACCTACACGCAAAAGGTTGACTACTGGGGACCAAACGACGAAAAGCAGAATGAAGGGCTCGATCTTGCGTAAGGATACATCATCTGTTTCGAGGACTTGCACACTCCACGGCAGCAGGACATGTCAAATTTCCTTGGGTCACTACTGACACTTTGTTCAAGTCATTATTGGGAGTGCGTCTTTTTCGACGACAAGTTATTCTTGGCACCAATCGGAGATACCCCTCATGTCAGTTGACATAAAACTGTTTACTTCAACTCAGCAGCTAAGAGTGTAAACAGAAAGTTCTCGACATCGGCACTGGAACGGGTATCTGGGCTATGTAAGTTGCCTTCCTCTCACTCTTGTGCCAGTCGACGCTTTTATAGAAATTATAAGAAGATCTAACAAGCTGTATACAGTGACTTTGCCGATGAATTCCCATCGGCGGAAGTTGTTGGAGTAGACATTTCGCCGATACAACCGAGTTGGGTTCCGCCTAACTGTAAATTCCAAATCGACGATATTGAGGCGGATTGGACATGGCCTCTGGAATTCTTTGACTACATCCATATTCGGCATCTGGAAGGATGTGTTTCTGATTGGCCAAAGCTCTACTCCCAATCATTTGAACACCTCGTACCCGGTGGGTACGTTGAGGTCAACGAGCTGGATCTTGAAGACTACTCCCAGGCGCTTGGCGACGACTTGCCCCAGGATCACGTGTACAGAAGGTGGGCAAAGATCATGTTCGAGTCTATGGATAGACTCGGGAAGACCGGGAAACAGACTCGAGACCACGGCATTGCAAACGGCATGAGAAACGCTGGGTTCGTCGACATCGTGGAGAAGAGTTGGCCCATTCCTATTGGAGGTTGGGCGTCTGACCCTAAGCTTAAAGAAGTCGGCGCCGTCAACCTCCAGTACATTGACCAGTCCCTCGAAGGTTTTGGGACTTTTCTCCTGAGAGAAATGATGGGATGGGAGGATGTGGAAATTCTTGTTTTCATGAGCGAGATGCGCAAGGCTTTGAGGGATCTCAAACTTCAGACGTACTTCACATTGTGAGTAAATTGCCTGCATCTGCGCTCAAAGCGTCTGATCTCTGTTGCTGCTTCTACTGTTTATTTTCTCTTTGCTAACAACCTTGAACAGACACGTGGTGTATGGGCGGAAGCCAGAAGAATCCGAAGGACAGGCAACCGTTGCACCCGTCGCCTGAGCATCAGGTAGAACTTCTTCATACTACCTTGCCTTTTTTTTTTTTTTTTTTTTTTTTCCCTCCCTTTCAAGATAAATATAGCAAAATGGGGACACCAACCTTTCTTAAGATGACTGGCCTTTTGGCAATTTTTTGACTTATTCAAATTTGAGTGAGCCCCCATCCCCCACTCCTGCTTTTTTTTTTCTGTGTTTTTTTTTTCCGTCACTTTCAAGATAAATATAGCAAAATGGGGACATCAACCGTTCTTGAGATGACTGGACTTTTGGCAATTGTGTGACTTATTCAAAGTTGAGTGAGCCTCAATCCCCCACATCTGCTTTGTATTTTCAAAGACCTCGAACGAGATGATCTTCCATTTGGGACAACAATCACTTCCTCCGCATCTTTCTGACTGTGCTTCAAGGACACCATTTGATAATGTATTAACTTCAATGGACTCGTGTCACCGTTTACATGTAAGGAGCTCTGCGAATGATTCACTAGCTCTTTTTTGCAACTACAATTTCAGTCTCATTGCCCTCGACTACTTTTTGCAAAACATTTTCACCAGAGTCATGATGTCGTTCGCTAATTTGGGTATTATGGTTGCTCAATTTGCTGCATTCTTCAGCATGGTGCTGAGACTTTGGCTAAGACTTCTCTTCAAATATGACAAGTCTGCTCTCTGAAAATACAAGGCCGTAGTAGGAGGAAGAGCTAGGCTCCTTGCTAAGCTTCTCCAATCGACCAACATAGTTTTCCGGTGTGACCACTAATCACTGAGTGAAATGCCTTTGTCGATTTCTTGTGGCCTCTACTTGCCGTGGCACACGGTGATCGACACGATTTGGCCTCTCGACTGCATTGTTCCTGATATAAATACCCTCCTTACCGCTTCGGGACAAAAATCGCCTCGATCGCGTTCTGTGGAACCACTGGGGCAACAACACGAGAAGGATTGCATGAAGTCCCCACCAAGTGCCGTTAGCTTCCGTGCCCAGACAACAAAGCTGCTCGTATTTCACCGCTGAACCTGCAGCCCTGTTCCGCCTGGCAATTGCCGCTCTGTGCCGCACTCTAGTGCGATCTATGGGATTTTGATGTATAGCAATGATGTCATATTGTACCCGTCAATAGCCTCCTGCTTTCGTGGTTTTCCTTTGGGAATCTCTGGTTTGCTTTTAGGCACTGACAGTTCACCCCATGGTTTCAAGCCGAACAGCAAACGGGTTTTCCTATGGTTTACTACCTAGGCACGAGTGTAGCGAAAGTGGTTTTCTCCCCAACTGACTGACTGTGAAATCTGATGAGTTGGAACTTTGGTTCTAGCGCGGGTCGTTCATCGGGCCCAGAACAAGGTATGATCGCTCAACGGCTGAAATGTTTCCTGCAGTGCCCCTGTTAACCCTGTCTAGGCTGACCAAAGACCCACGGAAACAAAGACGGCACGGACGTGTAAATGAGGGCCGTTTTCCAAACGAACCACTCAACTGCAAGGAACGAGATTCTAGACCTGCAGCTACTGTGGGTTGCCACGGCTCTTGTCCTCGATATTTAAGAGAATGGTAGACCGATCGTCCCGGAACTTGATGAGCCAGATCACTCTCGTTTCTTCCCCAGCCAACTGTCACTGACACTGTCAATCGGACTATTCAGTCTCATCACCTCAACCAAAACCTCCCCAAAATGCAGCTCGCTACCATTCTAGGCGCCTCCTTCATCGCCGTGGCTTCGGCTGCCCTCCCTCCCATCAACTTGGGCTATCTCAGCTACCCCCACGGCAACCAGTTCGTCGCGTGGTCTCCTTTCACTCCGACAACGACGCAAGAGGTCACCGAGGTCTGTGACACCCGCGGCGCCGTCAAGGGCACCGCGACGTGGACCGCCATCCGCACCTACAATACCTACGTCTTTGATCCCATCTGCCGCAACCCCTTCAACATCACCGACGCTTCTACGAACACCACATATCACGGCTTGGAGCTGGCTTGTGTGGACGATAATATCCCCCTCTACGCCAACCCCGAGGTCACTGCCGTTGTCGACACAAAGACCAATAAGACGGTTGAGACGTGCGTCCCTGTCTCGCAGGACGGCCAGTCTTGGTACGGAGGTTGTAGCGATCATTTCTCGGGCGTCACCTACTCATTCGCCTGTTCGGCCCAGTAAAGTATGGAACCGCCAATGATGGACGGACTCCTGTTCTTGGAATGACTTGAGAATGGAACATTAGCATAATTGCATAGATACGGACTTTGCATAGTCTGAGGTCACAACTTACTACTTTGGTAGTGATGGTTGCTTCAGCTTATATGATGAAGACATGAAAGCGGGCATATCAATTGATTTCAGATGATTATTTTCGACCTCTAGATTCTCCCCTGTTTATCTACTCTGAAGCTGTAGACAAGTGAAGAAGCTGACGACGTGATGTTGACGATGCCATTTCAATGTTGTCGAAAGCCAAGAAGAGACAATGCTTTTCAAGCTGCTCTCAGCGTCGGACGATACAGTAATCCCACGGATCCTCGCCTCCTAGAATGACCTTCAATTTGTATCAACCGCGTGATTCCGCGAAGCTGTTCTTGTGGTCGATTTGACGGGGGCCAGCCTAAGCGACACCCTGTAGTTCCACTCTGAACTAGCGCGAGTACTGGGACATGCACGTCGGCAAGGTTCAACAGTCGATGAGCTTTTGCCGTGATATAACCATTGAAGCGAAATACTGCTCCTTTAGCATATTTGTATCTGATCAATTGCGTCTGTTTGGTCCGGGCTGCACCTCCCGGGCAGTATCCCCAGTACTTCAGCACAACCAAGCTTCGAGTCGAGGGAATGTAGTTACGTAACTTTCATGAGCCACATCAGGTTGGCCACATAGCATGGTTGGCAGGGATCCTAGCTTATAGCGATCACGTAGCATGTGGAACACATTCGAGACATGAGATGCATAATAAATTCTTCACTTGTTGAGTTGATTTATCCCATCTGTAGACTAAGGTTCGACTCGAACGCTCGTCTAAAGCACTGATCCTTCGGTGTGGAGTCAAGACAAGCTACTCATGTGATCTTAAACCACTGACCAAAAGACCCAAAGGGATCAAACTTCTTCTTGAGAGCCTTAAGTCTATCCAAGCTTGATCCGTAGATGGCTTGTAGCTCCTCATCTCCATGCGCAAAGTTGATATACCTGCCCGGCCAATTAGTTAATCATAGCCACCACTAAGCAGTTCCCATAGCGGCATGACTTACGTCGGATTCACGAGGGCACTCGAAGAAAAGCTCCAGATATCTCGGACTTTTGCCCCGAATTCCAGAGCTTGTGTATCGAGGGCCGCATCCTCATACCACGGGATGACAATTGCTTGCGCAAACGCCTCTTGGCGAAGCTCGTCTTGCATGGCTGCCGAGCCAGCAGGAACCGATTTCGCGGTGGTCAAGTTGTACCTCTCGATCAGGACAGCCGAGTTCTGCGCGCCAGTTTGCTTTTGGAAGTCGGTATACAGACTCCAGATCTGAGGCCACGTCTCCGACTTCATGTTGTTGATGGTCGTGCTGTACGCCGGCTTGCGTCCTCCGCGGGCACAGAAATTGTCGTTGGCGGCATTCCACTCCTGGTAGGGGGTGACAACGCTGGAGTTAGTCAAAGGTCCGAGGTTGTAAAGGGGTGCAAAGGCGGTGCGGCCAGCTTCGTCTGTTCCTTCGCGGAGGAAGCCAGTGACTAGAACTGTGGGCGAGTTGGAAGAGTCACCCGAGTTTGTCAAAACCAGGTAGACGACTTGTTCCGGGAGCAAAGGAAGATCTTGGATGGCCTGCGCCACGTCGGCGATCTTTGCGGGGTCGAAGGTCAGGGACATGATCCACGATGTACGACTTGCTGTCGGCCATGCGTTCACTGTTGCGTATGTTACGATGCCAAAGTTGGGTGCAGCGCCCCTCAGAGCCCAGAAGAGATCGGGGTTGGACGTCTTTGAAACAGTTTGAGCCTCTCCGTCGGCAGTGATCACACGCATCGAGAGGATATTGTCGACAGCAAAGCCGTGTTCCCCCATGATGTTGCCATAACCACCTCCTAGGGCTGCACCGAGAGCACCGACGCAGTTGCAATTGCCCGTTTGAATCAATACGCCAGCAGCATCAGCAGCGGCAACGACATCGCCAATGAGAGCTCCTCCGCCGATCGTAGCTGTCTTCTTGTCGGCACTGATAGTGACCTGGTTGAGGCCAGCGAGGTTGATTAGGACGCCGTTGCTGCCCAGATTGAATTGTTTCGTCGCCCAACCATTACCACCGTTCTGAGGGAGAAATGGGATGCTGTTTGATGAACAGTAGTGGACCTGTATGAGGGACAGATGTGAGCCTATGCTCAATTGTGAACGATTGGGTAAGGGATAAACCTACCACCGCGCTCAGATCCCCTTCGGATGTCGCATTGACGATGACGGAGGGCAGAGGTACATCAAAGTCACTCCAACGTTCTCGAAGTTCGACGGCGACAGAGGATGTCGAGACAAGGTCTTGCAAGTCCTTGGCCACGGATCGGGCATTGATGACAACAGTAGCAGATGCTACCATTGAGATGAGCTGCAGACCGATGAATAGGGACCGCATGATGTCGTCCAGGGGTAGCAGCGGCAGGTGATCGTCGGCGAGAAGCTGTGATAGCCAAGAAGCTCGTGCATGGTAAGCCGCAGAGCAGGATAGGTTTCTTTAAGGGTCAGCGAACGTGCACAAGCAGGCCTCTTGGTCTACGTTGCATGTATGATGTGGGATGCAATGATACTCCCAACCACAGGACCCCCTGGATCCACGCGTGAAATCCTGGATCATTTTTGAAGCGCATATGCCGACTGATCTTAGCGGCTACCGTGGTATACATTTGCCATGTTGGTGGTTGCATACATAGTAGGTATCTTGCTGTACAGTGTTCGCATGTATCAACAAAGGGGAGGGGGGAAGACGGGGGAAAACTCCTCTCTCCATCCTCAATGTGACTGTCGCATCTCGGGGCTTCCGGCCATTCGCTAGCGGACTTCCGTGCGAATAATACCATCGTACGACAAGGACGCTGGACATCCTTTGCAGAAAAAACGACGCAAGCGTTCCCACCCTTGGCAAAAGATTACGGAACCCCAACCACGACATGGCCGTGTCCCGTCGCCGTGTTCCGTTACCCTGGCATTGTGTGTGGAGCTTTTGCTGGGTTCGACCTTGTCTTGCGGGACACACGATATCAAACGGATCCGCTGTGCCGATGGTCGAAGGAGAAAACCCCCCCCTTTGACGAGAAAATCGTCCCCTCTCTGCCCCCGCCGACCCGTACTGTGGAGGTTGTGGATGATGAGGTTATTTGGACATCTGAAGCGCACCAACAGTTGTGCCTTCATCAGGCTCGCTAGTTCACGGCTTACCGGGAAAGTTGTTCTCCGAAGCGTAATCTCAGCTATCTACAGGGGCTTCCGTAGATTTCTCGAAGCCACGCGGTTTGTCGACCAACGATCTTAAACGAATGAAACCTAAAGCTTGCGGAATGATTGTGGTTGAGTGACCTTTAGCGAGAAGAAAAGGGAAATACTGCGAGAGTCTGCAATTCAGATGGAGATAAACCTATAAACTATCCGCAGCATGCTCTCTGTCAATTCTACCCCCACTATATTGAACCATGTAGGGGTGGCCAACTTGCGTTGAAACACATCTCTTTCAGGCACCATACGCAAGCTGGTCCAGATAACTTCGTGTGACTTAGGTAACATACAAATGAAAAGTATCTCTCAGTCTCAATATCTCGAGAGCAGTCAGAAACAGTACAAGTGAGGATATCAAGTAAAGAAGAACAAGGATCGATCTCATTACAAACATTATCGAATGTTCAAAGTCAACGCTCAAATATGTCTCACGCAGCCTCGATCGCTCCTACTCATAATCCAACACCATTACTCCTCAAGTTGGTGGTACTTGAACTATCTGATGGCTCGATCGTTTGATGGATCGTTGTCTCTCTGAGAATTTCTCGCCCTTCTGGAGAGCCCGAGCGGGTTTTATCATCGTTTCGGATCATTTCGAGTTCGTCCAGCTCTTCGTACGGCGTTCTGACACTGTTCTTTCCTCCAATACGTCGTGATGATCCGTAATCGTAGGAATTGTTGCCTGTTTTAATGGGCTTGGGGAAGAAGTGCACCCAAATTGGCCGGAGTGTTGGAAGACAGGCGCAGACAATAGCCAGTGACAGCTCAATGTTGGTCCAGAAGAAGACGGGAGCGGTGTAATCTTTGACCAGTGATTAGGGAAAGGGAAATCATGGTTGAGTTTATGTGGCACTTACAGATGACATCATTGGGATGCTTGACGTATTCTTCGGCGATAGCGAATGTAGCGACCACTCTCGTGACACTCACAGCGCAGACGCTATACTGTTGTTAGCAACACATCTGTCTTCTTTGAACAAGACTGAGATTCTTACGCAGCGCCGAGCCCCAACATTCCAATGACGGCAATCTTCCTCTTGAGGGGCATCTGTACTTTGAGGACCATCGCGATTGGTAGCACGAGGATGGCAAAGTCGGCAACGACGCCGGTGAAGAGAAGCGCGAGAAACATCGGTACCGTCTGAACGCACGAGTTGCCATAGTAGGGCTCGATGAACACCGTGATGGGGAAGCATGTAAAGAGATGGGAAAAGAAGAAACTGACAGTCCATCCGATGACAAAGGCAAGGACCCCAAACACGATGTAGCGAAACCTTTGGCTTGGGAAGAGGTTGTAGTACAACACGAGAATAGAGGACTTGACGAGGCCCAGGCCGAGGATGGAAATCATATTGAGCGCAAACTTTGTCTGATGTGCGAAAAGCTAATTAGCTGGATGTCAAAATACGACGCGGGCGCCGCTTTGAAGGTTCATGTTAAGCTTACCTGTTCGAAGAAGATCAACCCCGGGTCATTCATAATTGGTGAACCGTCGGGGAACGTGGGCTGATGCTGTCCCAAGTGACCGTGGATCGCAGCTATTGCCAACGTCAGTCTCCTCATCATATAAAAAGACCATGGGTGACTTACTGGCGAGTTGTAGAGTGCAGCAAGTGATGGACACCAACTGTCAAAAGTCAGGGCCGCCCAGCATTCTCTTCTGCTTCATGCCGCCATTCTTGGACTTACGAGCGCTGCTCCCGTCAGGTAATCATCCCATGCAAAGCGTTTGACGAGTAACTTCGCCCAAATACGAAGTCCGTAGAAAGCAGTAGGAATGATCATGAACCCAACCGCCAGGCCGATCATCTGGCCCTTGGTGTAATCATGGTTCATGATCACCATCTTGGGCGACCCGGGAGTGCACAATCAGTGATGAGAACACAAACTTTGCTCAAAGTTCGATCGCCTCTACGAGGAGATCTGAAAAAATAAGGCCGGCAATCAAAGAGCGAACTAGGACTGTACAGCTGACAATCCAAATGCGGATATGTCACTGGATATGCCGTGAAATATGTATCACAAAGACCCGAGGGGTCTTGCTGGCCATGGCGATAGCAAGAAGGTGTAGTGTAGCAAGTGCAGATTGTCACAGTCCTCTTCCTGCGAGAGATCCTTTCCCTTCCATCAAGCGTCGCAATGGTAGCAGCGCACTACCATGATAAAACAAGATAGCATTCAAAGCAGGGTAGTGCCGCAGGGGGTGGAAGTTCTCTGCCGCTGAAAACTCTAGGTTCTCCCAGGTGAGAGCGCGCCCCTGATTACAGCGAGAATTGGTTGTCAACTTGTTATGCCTCATGTTTCGGGCGACCTGAGTCAGGTTCCTTGTCCGCTGGTGCCCCGTTGAGCAAGGCTAGAGGTCGTGACGTTGCAACGCGAACATATTAAACCCCACTCGTTCCCTGGTCCAGAGGAACGGCGGCGAGTGACAGAAAACTGTGATCCCCAGGTGCGGTAGTCCGTACAGGGGGTTTAACTACCGTGAACTCTAATTGCCATCCCTCCCTTCGGATTACGGGTCCTGAACTGGCTAGATTCACGAGCAGAACAGTTGCCTTTGATTTTCTGTTTGCCGCCCAAAGAGATTCGTCTCGGTGATTCAGACTCCTGCGACCTGGGATGATCGAGAATCAATTTGACTGGTTCTGGAGCCATGGCAATCAGGTTGTGAGTTCGTAATGGTTAACGGGCGAGCACTTTGAATAGAGCAATTATCAAGGGCATCAGTACTAACGAAAGCTCCTTCGCGGCCCGTGGGTTGTTGCAGTTTGCACAATTTGTCACAGCATGTCTGGTAATAGCGCAGAGGCTCGTATACCATGTATATCTCGTAATCATCCCCTTTTTTACCCCTGGCATGGCGCACACACCTGCATGTGCCCAGCTGCATGCCTCCACAAAACAATTCGAAAGGCTTTGGGGTGAAATTGCTACTATATGTTGGTGCGCCGTAAGGGAAGGATTGTGAAACTTATCAGCCGAGTGGTGAACCAGTGGCAGTTAATCTGAGGTTGACCTCAGTTGTGCTGTTAGTGTACAAATACGGATATAAACCAGGTGAAATAATGCTGCAAATTCTCCTGACTCAGGTCTTAAGAGAGTTCAGGTAAACCCTCTCTTCACGACGATGGCGCTGATATAAATTGCCGCTAAGCGCGATCCCAACAGTAGGTGGTACTGGCCGCCTTCCGCAACTGTCGCTACCTTGAAGAAAGCTTTTCTGCGCATGAGAAGTCTGCTGGGGTGAACGAAGCCAGACTGGACAGAGTCATGCCTCGAGGAGCAGACAGTCATGGGATCAAATGGCTCTGCCCTGCAGGGCATGACTACCATACGGATAGTGTAATTAGTTCAAAGCTTATCATCAGTAAACCACTTGGTCTCGGTAGGCCTGCGCATGAGCTGCTTCGGATATTCTACAACGTACAAGCCAAGGAACCAAGATACCAGCCGGCCCGTGACTGCAGCCATTGAATGTCAGTGTCACCTGATTTCAAGCCCTCCACAGCGGCGATCTTCTCTATTTCCCCGAAATTAGCACAGTTCTATCGCTATCGCCCCTTGGCAACTTGGTTAGTGCTACTCGTCAGTTCGGAGATGAGGGCATGGGCGCTCCAAATGCTGGCTTGGATCTTGCATCAGCAGCGGTGAAAAAAAGTCACCCAATAGGGTCATGATGATCCATATACGGTCTTTGCTGTCCACTGCATCTAAGCCAAGTCCTTGCTGTCTAGAAAGTAGGCTCTTAACAGCACATGCCAAATTCTTGGACGGTTTGAAGAAAGTCAGGCAACTCAAGCGCTCCCGTTGTCTTAGAATAAAATTAGTAGAAACGAAAACCAAACAGTGACAATTCTCTCGTAGTTATCCGTATATTCTCTAAATTCTTTACTCTCAGCAAGCGTCAAAATCTTATCCAGTGAAGCTATTGAACACGTAATGTTACAGCGAAACACGGGCATGGGGGGATGCAACTGTTCAATCTCCTAGTGTGCTCGATCCCGGCAATTGCGTGACTCGTATATTCAGTGCCTTAGGTGAGATGACCATCTTTTCTTTATCAGTCAGAATGTCCCGCAGTTAGACTCTAATCTGATCGTTTGAGGGGGCCAGACCAGATTGAATTTTCACGCATCCAAGCAAGGGGTGAAGCCAGTCCAGAGGTCGCAATGAGAACGCTCGTCAAGTTGTTATCGACCTGGAACCCAAAAACCCTGGGATCTACAGCTACCGACCAGATGATCATCCTTGGGTGCCCTTGGGTAGTGACTGCTACGCGTGCTGATTCTTAGATTTGAAGATTCGATTCGCAAAGGCCCGGACCCTATCTCGGTATCAAACACAACAGAGACGGCGTGCATACCAACGGGTACCGAAAGATACCAGGGTGTTTATCTGCAGATTCTCTGAGGGGGTGAGAGTGGGTTGATCCCTGACCCGGCTTGTCGGAATAGAACCAACGGACCCCAACAGAAAGAAAGAAATCTTTTCGCTCAGATGGATACGCAGCTTCACAACCTTGTCAATCCCGTAATTAAGTCTTCTCTTAATTCCTTTGAACATTTATTGTAACATTTCGGATTTACTGGCTAATTTCTATTCCTCACGTCCATTACATGGCTGCGTAGAGCTCTTTCTCTCACAAGCATACCTCGACTCCAGACACAAGTGACATAGCACTGATGGGAGGACAGCTGAGTAACTTATGTCACAGCAACTCCCAACTAGCAGTAATTGAATTGAATATGGAAAATATTGAGATTCGGAATCATTGACTGTTCAGTTTTCCGTCAGACTACGCATGTTTCCCCTCTCAATAGGTCGGTGACATCAGCACGATCACTTTACCTGTATAGAGAATGAATGCCTACTGGAGCTCTATAGAGTGCTTTTTCACTATTCGATTTATTCCCACTCCCATCGGCTTCGCTAAGCAATGAACACAAGAGGCTCTATAGGATGGACCTCTCACCATGACTGTATCTTCGTCTTAAGACGCATGACTAGAGTTGTAAGCTTTTCTATTTCAGTGAGTGAGCTCCGTTAGAACAGCAACAAAAGCCCGTGAGTGATTATTCACTCTTGAGACGGCTGTTCAGCAACACGCCAGACTTGAAGTATTCCTTCTTTCTAAAATCAAGTCGACGAGGAGCGCCTCTAGAATCATCAATTGCAGCTCATTGTTAGTTGTTAATTTTTACAATTCAAGTTTAACTTTCGATGATACTATCTGTGAGAAGGTAATCATGATACCATTAGGAGCTGTTTCACTGCTGGAAACTCTAAACGCGTTTTCGATAGTATGATATTCGCCGCTTGAAAGTCAAACTTATCACCGTACTAGCTATAGCTCGCAACACTGCATACACTGGGTATGATAACATCCAAGTTGTATGACCACTTAGACGGATGCAATCAAGCCTGATGGTCTTAAAGCTGGAAAATTATTGTGAAGGATGCATCACAAATGTATCTTATGACCACTACTCCATCTAAATGCCAGAGAATCCCGGAGGAGGCACATAATGTTGAGCTCCAAGCACAAAAATATTCCAGATGATGACTGATGGAATGCTGATAGCTTTGGCAATCGCGGAAAGATTCCGGCCATGGTAGATATTTGCTACTTCAAAAGATTCATGTAATAGACTACATCCATCCATGACATCATTTGAAGACATTCTCACGTAAAAATGGTTTTGGGTCAGAAGTGCTAGTCTAAGTACGTATCTGATGATCATACAAAATGAATGGGTCCCGCGTTACTGTGATGCGAGCGGCGGTCAAATTAAACTATACCCGCACTCGGTCCCCAAAGGCATCCACATGTTTTCCCCAGCTTGTCAAGTCTTAATACTACTTGAGTATACGTTTCAAGAAGCCTAGAACATCAAAAACATCGGATTACTTTCCAAGTGTGGAGGTTGTAGTGGGGGTAACGAAATCAACAGAAATGAAAATTCGTGCAAATTAGTGAGGATGAAACTTGAAGATCTGTAAAGCTTATTCTGTTCAATCTATATCAAGATAGTTGCCGAGGCTTCCGATCCGTGATCGAAATCGAAGTTCCCACATGCAATAGTCGCGCAAAGAGGAAGAGAGCAATTCAGATTACCCGTCCTAAGATGAGAATATTCCTGTGATACCCTAATGCAGCAAACTGTAGAACAAGGGGGGGCTAGTCTCAATTTAACGACAGACAAACAAACGTGCCTGAGTAGCATTTGAGGTTGACTGAAGGGTTTCTTCAACTCATGAACTCCCTTAAAGACCATTAGATTGGTATGTTAAAACCGAAGGAGGACACTTTTGATCGATGACCAAGCCATCGTCACTAGCCGCGCATCAATCATGATCCATTCTCCGGGGTCGATTCACAACTCCACACCAGGTGGATCACGGCGTTGTGGCAGAGTGGTCTAATGCGCAAGACTAGAAATCTTGTTCCTTCGGGAGCGTCTGTTCGAATCAGGCCAACGTCGATTGAGGGTGTTTCCTTTTGTCCAGAGAGCGTAGAATCCTTAGCACCAATCCTTGTTGAAAAACTTTTGCGTATGTAACAACATTTCGTTTTTCTGTGGCATAGAAGTTTTCTTTTACCAGAATTTATGTCTTTGCGACGTCCCGAGGTTTCGACATTTTGAAGGATCTCTTGGCTAACCACAATTCTGCCACGTGCATGTGAACGGTTCTTCCTTTCCCAAGTACGCGATGGCTGCACAGGTGCTCCCGGGTTGATGTTTGCATTTGGCCGGATACCCGGCTACAACTAAGCGCTTGCATCTGATTGGCTTGTATTCCCTATCAAGAGTGCCCTGGGACCCTGACAAGGCGTAAAGTGACTTTCTGCGAGTTCAGCTTGCGACCAATCTCAGCATCTACGGTTGCAGCTTTTCTCCATTTTTATGCATCTCAGAGGCGCGGCGCCATCGAGGAAGAGCAGAAGCGCCTGCAGCAAAGACATGCCAAGTTTGCTCAACCAACAGAGAGGACGATAAATGTCGGAGGGGTAATTATAAAAACGGCTGGACCATCGCCCGGATACCCGACAGGTGAAGGCAGTCCTCTGACCCCCATCCAGTCTCGCCAGCTTCAACTCGACAATCCCACGAGCCGGCTTTCACACTTTAGGATAATTTGTCTAGAAATTTTCACCTAGATCGCCAGGACAGTTGTCATATCGTGACCCAGACATCCCATAGTTTTCCTGTATGCCTACAATGGCCGAGGCAACAATTAGCCAGAGTCAGGCCACAGCGGCGCCAACTATACAAGCCGCATCGCCTCCGGTCCAAGATGAAGCCAGCCCGCCAGCCAATACGCCGGTAGTTGCTAACGATGTGACTGTTGAGGCAGACGAAGTAGAGACTGTAAGTCAATTCTGTTCAGTGCGTTGACTCTCGCAGTGGCCCTTCGCTAACAACAGCTCAGACAGATGATGCGTCGACGATTGATGAGAGAATGTAGGTTCAGTAACATTCAGTTTTTGGATCACATGACTGACTTGGGCCGCTCGAATAGCTCGAATTACACTGCATCTCTTTCCTCAAGCGTGATTGATTATCCAGTAGAGTATGGTCGACGATACCATGCTTTCCGGCCGGGTTGTAAGTTTCGCTCCTTGTTCAATGTTTGACATTCTCTAATAAACCCCCTTGTCTATTTAGCTTATATCATGCCGAACGATGAAGCCGAGATGGAAAGACTTGACATGACGCATGCTATGATGGTCAAGGCAATCAAAAACAGGCTGTTCCTTGCCCCGCTCGAAAAAGAAAAGATTCAGCGGATTCTTGACGTCGGTACTGGCACTGGTATCTGTAAGGGCTTGGATCTTTCCGTTCAGTTTCGGGGCTCTTCCAAGTGGCTAACAAGTCTTTTATACAGGGGCTGTCGAAATTGGCGACATCTTCGAGAACGCAGAGGTTATCGGCGTGGATCTGAGCGCTATACAGCCGTCTTGGTACGTTCATGGCCACGTGTCTAAGCTGATATCGGCCATCTTTTTACTGACACTCTTTTCAGGGTTCCCTCCAACGTGAGATTTGAGATTGATGATGTTGAAAGCCCCTGGATCCATCAGAAAAAATACGACTTCATCTTTTGCCGGGTTATGGCTGCATCGATTGCCGACTGGCCCAAATTGGTCAAAAACATTTACGAGTAAGCCACTTCCCCAAGACCGTGTGGCCACTTCTGAGGAACTCTTTTCTGCATCCTTTGTATTTGCAATGAAACTAATAGAGTATGATAGTCACCTGAACCCAGGAGGCTGGGCCGAGTTCCACGAGATGGACCCCGAGATTTACTCGGATGATGGCACTTACACCAAAGAGCATGCAACTTGGCCTTGGAATCAGACATTCTTGAGGACGATGAAGAGCATCGGGCGGGATCCCTGTCCTGGCCCGAAGCTGGAAGGGTGGGTGACGGAGACTGGGTTTGAAAACATTTTTCACCAACGGTTCAAAGCCCCCCTCGGCCCCTGGCCCAAGGAGCCCCATTATAAAGACTTGGGTATGCTCAACTTGGCCCAAATGCTTGATGGTCTCGAAGGGTTCACTCTGAGAGTCTTTTGTGGGGTCCTTGGCCGTACCAAGGAAGAGGTGCTGGTAGAGACAGCCGAAGTGCGCAAGGAGATGAAGGAGGGCGCCTACCACGGCATTTATGACCTGTGAGTTATCATCCTGATCTATGATTGAGCTTTGAGTCCTGATTGACCATTCCCAAGCCATGTGGTTTACGGGCAGAAACCTCTGGCGCAAGAACCATCGTCTATAACTTCGTAAGTAAATCATAGACAAGCAGTCTCGCATCTGCAATTCAAATTTGGCGCACCAGCAGGTGGCCGATAGCACATGTAATGGAATGCAAAAAGGGATCTGTTCGAGTTGAATCGAAGCGCGGCTTGTATGTCTGCATAAAATCTAGATATATGCGCTTGATTCATGCTGGAATGATGATGCAGTGCAACACCTAGCTATGGTATACATGATCGATTATGCTTTGCTACTAGTTTTATCCCAATTTTGTTCCATATAATCAAGCCCCAATGGTACTATCAAATCAATGTTTTCGTTTCATAAAGGGAGAATATGTTTTGTTCATCAAACTGCCACCTTCCAAGGACATCCTGCGTGCTAAGGTTGAACGGAATATAAGTAATACAGCTGAGATCTAAGAAAACAAAAGGTATCTAGAACTACTGCAAAAATTACAAGTATCAAGCGATGCTCTATCTACATAAATTTACTTATCATCAGGATATTGATCAAAGAAATCCGTCCTCCCTTCCAGCAGCGCATCGGCGTTCAAACGTACACTCCATCTCACCATATCCGTCATACTGACATCTCTGAACCCATCACCGTGATTCCCAATGTCGCTCATCGCACTGTTGGGACCAGCCGGTCGGTGATGGTGGAACAAAGCCGGTTGTGTCGTCAAGCAGTTGTGTGGTCTCCGCCCCTTGGCGCCCTCGCAAAAGAATCTCAGGAGGATGTCGTACGCATCGCTGACGTCCTTCAAAGCCACCTCGTGTAGGAGCTTTCGCGCGCCCTTTTGGCTGACCGCATAGCCCAGGGTGCAGACACCCTCCTGAACGTGGTGGTATGCCCGCGTATGCTCCGGGTACGTCTCCTTCAGAGTGAACGGAATGTTGAACGTCCATAGATTCTTCTTGGGAGCGACCGTCACGTCGTTGGAGCGGATGACGCGAGCCTTTGGCATAATCTTGTTGTCCCGGAACGGGAAGTGCATGCCACAATGGCCGATCCAAAGGAGGTCCCAGTCGTCTCCGTACGGTGAAGTCTTTGGCGCCACAGTAGCTGGGAGAAAATTAAAGGGGATGTCCGGTACGACCTCCGGTGAGTTTTCCGACGGCCTCGGGTATGTCGGGTCAGCATATGTTGAAGGTCCATCGAACAGGGGCTGAGTAAGCGTCTGAGCTGAGAGAGCAAAGTCGTGCAATTGCTGCCTGATTCTGATGTCCCAGTCGACATCGTCCTCGAGAATGAGGGCTGAAGACAGATTGTGGCGAACGATTCTTGACAAGATTAAAGTGTCAGTCATCAAAGTGTTTGATGGTCAGGATGGAGTCGACTCACTCCTCGAGCGCACTCATGTGGCCGCGCCAACAGCCTATGGCTCCATCGTGCAAGCGGTCATGCTCGCTCGTCTTGGGTATCGCCTTATCGACTACGGTGTTGCCAGGAACACCGTCGACAAAGTCGATCTCAATCTCGCTCAGCGCAGCCTGCAGAATCATACCATCTCTGCGATCTGTCCGGCTTGGAAGGCCGACAACGAAAATCTTTTGAAACTATAGATAAACCATTGTGAGATTGTGCTTCTTCCCCCTAGCGCTGGAGAGGACTCACGCCTAATGTGCGGTTTTGGATCGCGCTCATTAAACTTGTTGACGAAGATGTGCCTCCCGGCCGACGGATTTGGCCAAGAAATGGGTTATGCAGGAATAACACAACAGTAACAAAGACTGCTACGATGATGCACAGGTCCCTCTTGGAGGTCGGCCTGATGGGTAGAAAGTGCATCCTGCTGGTTTTGTGCATTGGGAACGGACTAGCAGGATGCCAGAAATTTGCAAAATAGTCTTGAAAACAGCCAACAAGCAGAGTGAACCTGTCGGGGGACAGGCCTTATGAAAAGAAAGAGGATAATCAGCTGGCAAGCCAAACCGTATCCGAATGCATGGTGGGTTGCTTAATTAAAATCTCGGCCGGCGGCGGGATACCTCAGGCGGACGGGCCACAATGCAAATTTCAGCCAACCCCCAAAAGGAACACCAGCATCCACTTGGCTGCTTACTGACTGATAGGCTGAAGAGCTTCAGAAATGGCAGAAGATCTTCTTTCAATTTAAGATACTTGCCCTCAGCCCTGCATATACAAGTACAACAGCATTCCAGATGTTCACCATGCATCCGGACGCGAGGTAGCGGATCTTGGGGAGCAGAGGAAAGGGGACGAATTAGGAGAACGCTGATTTGCCTCCAACAAAGGACTTGGCGTTGGTTGGGACTTTGGATGCACTACCCATCACAGCAGCTTGGCAATACAAGGCGGTTAGGTCGTTTCTAGCTCCGCGCTGTATCCTCAATGACGGCGGGACAAAAAGACGGGCGGTAAGAAATTGGGCAGCAAGGATTCCAGCGTTGTGATTGGGCCCTTTTCAATACCCTTGACTGGCAAAAAAAGCCACTTCTCATGGCCAGGGGAGAGGCCCTGCTTCGGCCGAAAACATCCATGATCCGTCAAGGCATCACTGAGCTCTCTGTAACTAAGAGTGCTGAGAGTGCAGAAACGTTCTCCTGTAATTTTCAATTTGTTGAAGTTCTAGACGGCATTCCTAAACCTTTGATGGTTTCTATCTGTAGAAGCACCGTTTTACTCTATGTCAACCAAGGCCGCGCCCTGAGGGCGTGACCAGCGATGCAAGATATGGATGCATGCGGCATGGGCGGCAAAAAAAGATCACAATCAGTGAGCGGCAGGCTACCGTACCCAGCCGGAAGCAGGCTCTCTCGATAGTGACAGGGAAAGTGAGAGATTTTGAAAGCGAAGCAGGGGCTAAGTAGGAAACTGACTGTTGGTAGTTAACAATCGAGCAGACAACTGTTGGAAGCAAGACAAGGGTTTGGAACACGCCAGTGGGCCTTCGAACCACAGTGCTGGGTCGGGCAAAGCATCCGTAGGCAAAGACCAGCCTTCGGTCTGAGTCTGATAATAAGGAAGCAGTGTCACACTCACGGTCGAGTCAGCGCCACCTGCAATTGATCATTGCGCAAAAACAAACAACTTTCCAAGATGCTCTTTGCAGTGATACTGTCGTTATCCCTTATACCTTGCCTCTACGCTCAGTTCTTCAACCCAGTTCAAAGAAGAGAGGTTTGGCGGATCGGAGAACAAAAAATTATCACGTACAACACAAAGTTCAGAAACTACACAATAGCGCTTTGGCAACAGTCCCTGGTGGCTGATGCCGCGACCATTGGAGACATTTTATTCTCCATTCGTAAGTCAGAAAAGGACTTCGTTGAGTCTTGTAGGCCTGGCTAACGGAAACCCGAAGAGGATGGCTCTGGTCCCGCCAAAGAGCTCACATGGACAGTCGAGACGAACAACTTGGACTTGGACTCGTCCAATGTCTTCTTCCTCTGGCTATTCGAAGGCGATCTGTCTCATCAGGGAAACTTTGATTTTCAACAAATGTCCTCGGCCTATTTCAATATTACAGACGAGCTTCCAATTCCCAAAGTGACCTTAACATCAATAGTAGACACAACCTCGATGACCCAGACCTCCGAGCTCCCAACAAGCACACAACTTCCTCCTTCTGAATCTTCAGCAGAAACATCGACCCAACAAACCACTATCGACGGCGGAAAGACCGTGTCTACTGGCACACCGACAGCCAGTGCCAGCCAGGGTAGCAGAGCTGAGCCTTCTGGAGGCCTGCCTGTTGGAGCGCAGGCTGGGATTGGAGTTGGCGTCGGTATCATCGGAATCACTTGTGTCATCTGCGCCATCACCTGGTGCAGATATCTGAGGAAGCATCAAAAGGCTCTTCACGATCTGCAAGAGATGGCGTTGTCGCAGCCTCCTGCGTATACTCATGGCTCTGCAGGGGCAGCACCGGCAACAGTTGAAGCACACCAGTCACCAGTGAGGTCGAATGGCTATTACATCAGTCCGAAGCCTGTTGAGATCGCCTGATTGAATGCTTGGGGGAGTTCAAGGAGTGCATGCTTCGTTTTGTTCTTTTTTCCCGTGGGTTACGTGAAGGCGTAGGGCATATGGCCAGAACCTACAGATATCCATGACAACAGTTTAGTACGTTGCGTATTATTGCGTAACCTAGCGATACCATAGAATGATTACAATGAGAAATGCGAGTATCCCAAGTTGCCAGCATCATGAGTCGCCACAATCTCGTTATGAGCTCTGATTCTCGCTTGACGCAGGCCAGCGTCTTGGTCACAACTCAGCAAATCTGTGGATGCGCCGTAGCGCAGCGCTTGTGGCTCATCGGATTCTCAACAGGGATGAAGATGTTTGCCACAGGATGCGCAAACAAGTTGGGCCAAGCCAGCTTTTCTTTTCGGCTGCCGCTTCTCGCGCGGGAATTTTGGAAGTGACTCTTCTTCCCTTTGTAGATCTTGGCCGACCAAGCTATATGGCTACTTACCATTACTTATTAATAGCATACTGCAAACGCTTCCTCAAAGACAGGCCTGCTTTGCCATCCAATCACTTTTGTCGGTTCCACACCATTTCTCACCACTCGTTGGAGCCCATGGGTACGCCCTGAGCTGGAAGCTTGGGACATTGGACTTGAAGTAGTCCTCAAATGCATCGGCTTCAGAAGGTATTTCACCAGAACCGCCCAGTACGGCTTTTACGGTCCCAAAATTATAGTGCGGCCCACCGCTCCCCATGATGGCGAAGCTGGCGTCTCGAGAATATTCCAACCCGTGACCCAGACGCAAATTCTTGTTTGGTACCACTTTCTACTTGCAGGGCGCAACTTATATCAACTAGTTGGGAACACTTCTCAGACCGGAAGACTCGTTGGGTTCACAGAGGAGTTAGATTCCAGGCTGCCACCCACCGTCGCCGTGTACGATAGGTTCCAAGTCAGAATCACCCCGTCCAGGGAGGGACTACCAAGAGTCTGCTTCTTTATGAACCCATAAACCTCAACCGCATCAGCCTTGTCCGCAATGGCAAGATTGACAGGGTAGTCTCTAAACGGAGCTACACAATAAACGAAGAAGAACGTCAGTGAAGGCCTCTGGACGGCATATACAGAGACCATTCTCAACTGTCATGTTTAATATGGGGGCGGCACTCGATGAGGTTTTGTCTCTTAATATGTTCACCATCTGGGGGCTTTGAGCTCGTTGCCATCAAGTGCTTCATGCAGCAACAATATCGGACCCAGGCGAACTCTAATCTGAGCTCATATACATGTCTTGGCTAGTGTCCTCTCACCCACTCAGATCTGAAGGCTTCTTTTCACTTCAGACGACGAATGCCGAATGTTAGTAATCTTTCCGATTCGTGGAATGCAGAAAGATCTATCTGCAAAACGAATACAGCAACAAAGAGGAGATTACTCAGAACTCTCCCACCGGGTTCTTACCGGGCGCGCCAATATCGGCTCTATCTAAGGGTTCTCGGAAGCTGACGCAAACGAAATGGGACGAGCTGACTTAAAGAATACTCGTACCAGGCATAATCTGATCAAGTTATATTTTGCTACTCAAAGCTTTAAGCTTTTTTTCCCAACCTATTTAATTGCAATTCCCATTTAAGTTGATCAAAATCTCGGGTGATTTGGAGGTAGACTGTAAAGTCTCGTCTGAGAGGCGAGTACACGGAATTTTCACAGTGGTTGTTTTTTGAGCCAACCATATCCACTTAATAAGGATGGATAACAACGGGAAGCTTATCCGTAGGCAGGGTTGTCTAAATAGTAACGGAAACTCTGAAGTTGAGAGATTACCTCTGAGGGAAGAAGAACTCTGTGAAACTTCCTGTTACATCCCTGCGCACACTCCCATCCCTTTTTGGGGCCATATACTCCGTGTTGTATATTAACACCTGTATAACATAATGACAGCATCTACTATCCGTAATTCCACTTATCTTAATTTGATATAGTAAATAGCCTTTGGCTTTGCTCTGATACTGTTACGATCGTAGCTTAAGCAAGTGCTTATTTGGTAAGATATAAATGTGAAAGTACTAGGGCGACCAAAGCATGTCATTATTGTACAGCATAGGAAAGTAAAAACAATTAGTCAAAGCAGAAGAGGTCAAGCACTCCGCTACATAACTATCTCGTACAACTAAAGCAGTCAACACTGTGCTTTTTCTCACATCTAATCATCTTGTCTCTGCAAACTTCATCCACAGTGGTTCATGCAACAACCTGCCCAACCTACTCTTCTCTCCCCCCAAACAGGATCTCCATCCCACCATCCGACAAAATGGGCATAACAACCTGCAAGCCGTTGATAGTACCAACAAGCGGCGCGCAGACAGCCAGGATCGTGTCCCCCCCCCAACTGGACACCGTAAAGCGAAAAGTTGATCCACGACGTCTGGATGCAGTTCTTCCCCGGCACATCAGGAGAGTGGTAGGGGATGATGCGGTTCACATCCGCCATCATGTCAATGAGCGTCGCCAAGTCCGCCAGGGACGCCGAACCCAGCAGAGCATCTTGCGAATCGGTGCCGAGGCCGCAACTTCATCGGGGTGCAATCTAGCTTCCTCCAGGAGAGAGCATGACACAATCGCGATAAATCAAGTACGGTAAGATAAGTAGCTCCCCGAGTCAACAGTGAGATACAAATGTTCTCTGCTAGAAAATGGTAGGCAAAATAAAGGTGAATAAGAATGGAATTAATAATGGTCTTTTCTCGAGGTTCGAGTGAGTATGCACAGGGGGAATCCTCTATTCAAACACGACCTCGTATGCCGCAAAACCAGTGTATCCATGACTTCAAAGACGACCGCGCCAATACGCCCGCAGCCAATGCCTCCCAGGACCTGTGTGTGCTTACAAAAGGAAGGAAAAAACATGCAACATCAAAAGGAGAGAAAGGCCTTTTAAAAAAAGCCTGCCTCCTTCAATGCTGCTGACCCTGTTTTCTCTCCAGGTCGTTGGCGAGGTTCATGTGCATGAGAGCCTGGGCCGTCCAGTCCTCCTCGTCCTGGTCGCCACCACCACCACCACCCCCACCCGGTTGATTCTTCCACAGACCCATGCTCTCGCGGCCGTCGACTCCGGGGAGGTGGATCGTCGGCGGGGTCTGGCCCGGCTTGGCTCCTACGGGCGGGGGACCACCATCCTCGCGACCGAATTGGTCAAAGTCTGGCAAGACGTAGCCGTGGCCCGGCGGCGCGGTAATCTGCTGTGCGAATGCAGGGCCCTCATCACCGGGCATCTCCGCAATGCCGTCTTGGCTCGGGTGAGGGAGAGATGCCATTTGCCCGACCTGGTGCTCGAATTCCTCCTGTTCCAAAATCTGCGGTGCGTGTTCGACGTTGCGGAGGCTCGAGGAGCCAGCCGCCAGGCCGTTCATGGTCATACTCCTCTGGCTACTGACAGAGGCTCTGTGAGCGTCGGGCCCGTCTGCAGTGCCAGTGTCGCCACCCACGATGCTATTGGGATCCATGTCTCGAATGGCGAATTGCGCGAGGGTACGCATCTTACGGGTGACCCATCCGGCCAAAATCTTGCCGCGCTGCTTCTCGCCGAGACGCGACCGTGGGAAATCACCCTTGTTGACGAATGCAACGATATCGACAATGATCTGGTGTTCGTTGAGGATCGCGTTGACAATAACTGGCACGACAGAACCAAGGTAAGCCTTTCGCGTAATCTCGGCAAGGAGAACGACGAGGCCGCCAGCTTGGAAGACAGCGCTATGTTTTGTTAGCATAATGGACAGTGTTATTGCAGAATATCGACTTACCATCCACCGGCGACGATGTTGCGGTGGCATCGTTCCACAGAAGCCTCGATGTCCATGGGGAAGTGGCTGAGACCATTGATCTCAAACGTTTCTCCAATGTTACCAAGAACGAACAAGACCTGCATATCGACCTGGGCGCCTGCAGGGCCAATAGGCCTGCTAACGTTGTGCAAGAAACCCAAGTCGCCCGTGCGGACGTATTGGATGCTAGGATCGCCATCTACCGTACGGCCGTCGAATCTCTCAGCGTCAAACACATCCTTTGAGCCGTAGAATGCCTTGACACAAGCCTCCGAGTCAACCCAAATCTCTCCGTACTCGCCATCGTGGCAGAGCAAGCGGCTCTCGGGGTTGACAATGGCAATTTGGGTAGAGACAGGCACCATTCCGGAGTCCTGGAGCAGGAGCGCCTTAGGATCCTGCTCGGGATCTACAGGGTAGATCAGACCGCGGCGCAGTGCCTTTGTGTCCAACCAGAGCTCGATAGGCTCAATGCACATGTACGACCTCGATGCGACCATGGGGTTGAGCACGTGAGAGTAGACGGTGTTGATGGCGGTTCGGTCGAGGCCAGTAGCCGCGAAATGGAGCCGTACCTTTTGGAATACGTCCACGCGTGGTCTACTTTCGGCCGAGATCATCAAGTTCTTGAGCTCGTGGAGCGTGAACCCCTTGCCCTGCATCGTGGCCATGGCGTGATCCAACATTTGTGGCGTCGCGTAAGTGTCTTTGATCTTATACCTAGAGAGAGTCACAAATAGAGACATTGGATTTTGCGCAAACTCGACTGGCGAGAGGAGGTATGTGGGGGTGCCAATGTAGATGCCCATCAAGCATGAGTGAATGAAGCCTAGGCCAGTCGTGCTACGCACGCATCCCAGGACAGGGCGAGAACTCGTCATTTGGCAAGTCTCCTTCTGGACCTTGCACATGCCCAAAATGGTGTCGTGTTCAAGCTGAACCGCGATACGGCGCTGATCGGGCGTCCAGTAGGTCCAGATAATTACAGGATAACCAGTCTGGATCCAGGCGGGCTGCATAGTGATCCCGTTATCGCGCAAGCCACTGCTTTGCTTTGGGGGCTTGGTGGTATTGTAGTAATTCGGCACCCCGATCTTGAGAATGGAAGCAGCTTGCTTGACGTGGTTAGACACCAGCTTCAGCTTGACCAAGTGATCAACTTCGTGGTTGACCAGAATAGCCTTGACACGGAAGTCGGCGACGACGTGCAAGAATGCTGGCACGTCCTCATTAAGTCGGTTCTGGTCTAGAGGAGCCAACGGAATGACAACGGCGCCCAAGTTGATACAGGCATGGACGGCGTAGACGAACTCCTCAGAGTGCGTGTACATCAGAATGAGATGGTCGCCAGGGCGAACCTTGACCTTGTTCTTGAGGTACAAGGCCACGGCGGCAACCTTGGTGTCGAACTTCTTCCAAGTCACGCCCTTGCCTTCTCTGCCGCGACCATCAATGGTGCAGTAGGCTAGTTCCTCGGGCTGACGGGCAACACGCCACTGTATGAGGTCGGTAATGCAGGAGAAGTTGTTCAGTGGCGTTGAAGTGCGATCGTCAATGACAACTTCTCTTCGATCGATACCCGAGTATTGCTTGTCAGATGATATGAGAATCGCAGCACGCGAGTCTGATGAGATGGGAGACCAAATGCCTCCAATAGGGTCGACTCCGATGGGAAGATTGAGCACCGCGTGCTCAACACCAAACTTGACATGAACACAGGGCAAGTTACCGAGGTCGAAGTCTCTTCTACAAAGCATATTGCCGATGTCCCTACGTCCGTTCTTAACTACCCTTGGTAGAGAGTTCGGTGCCGTGATCATAACGCAGTAAAGCCTCAAGTGGTGTTCCTGCATCAGTACATCCATACACCTCTCAGCGAGAGAGTCAAGCAGCGCAGTGTCGAGTTGCCTGGGCGGCCCGCCAGAAGTCAAAGGTGCGGTCGATGCAGCCGGTGATTCCAAGACCACAATTGGCAGATGCTCCTCGTTGACAAACACGTCAAAGGCAGAGCAGTCGTAGATCTTGGGCACATTCTTGACAATGCTGACGACGAGGTGCTGGACAAAGAAGTACCGGTACTCCGCTACCTCGGTGCCGTGCTCGACCCATTCGACCTTCTGACGAATGCGATCTTCGTAGAGGCCAAGCACAAACAGCTTGCCCTCGATGACGGTACCTAGTAGGCCGGTTCTCAGAAATTCGGGTTCTACGACAGTCGGTGTGGGCTCGCCGGGGTCAAACTTGTACGGTCGGGCGTGGAATATTTGCTCCGTGTGTTTTGGCAGAGCCCAGAAGCCTCCTGATAGCGATGGTGAATCTACCCAGATTTCTCCGACAGAGTGTGGTGATGCCAGCAAGCCCGTCTCCGGATCGACAACGGCGAGGGTGGCATCGGGTATAGGGTATCCAAAAGCACCGATGCGAACAGTGCCCTGTTCGTTAGCTGCTCGTTTTCGCGCTTCGTCTCCGATTGCCACTACCACCACGTCATTCGTTTTCAAAGCCTCTCTGTCGAGGAGCACCTCACTCAGTTCGTTCTTAGCGCGCTGCTCTGTGGTGGTGGTGCCGCCGCCTCCCAAAAGACTGCCGAAACCGTTAGAGGGCGCAAGCTTGACCTCTTCCTTCTCTTCTACGTCAGAGTCAATATCGGAGCCCATGTCCAGCTTCAAGGGGCAGCCCATCCGCTCTTCGCCTCCTAGCCAGTCGCGAATACTGATGACCATGCCGCCGTGCTCTGGTAGGCAGAGCATTGGCGCGACGACCTCACGTGCTCGCGGGTTTCGGAGTGGCCTTAACCATCTATCCGCCAGTACTTCGTGGAATTCACCATCAACCGTGAGGGTGTCGATTAGGCATAATTTGACCGTCTGGAAGTTGGGCTCCATTCCCTTTTTGAAATTTCGCGTTGTCATAGGGTCTGATTGGTAATTGTAGGCGGCGCGCTTCAAGCCTGGGTAGTCGGCAATCATCAGTGTGGCCTTGTACTTGGTGATGAGATGAGCGTAAAGCCCCGGCACTTCGACGGCCTTGTTCTCAACCCACACAGTTGTATGACCTCCGTAGACGGTGAGAAGGACGCCCAAAATCATGCCTATACCCTGTCGAGGATCCAGGTATGATAGGAGCGTCTCGCTGGTCGCTCCAGCGCCGATGAGCCGGCCATTCTTGTCGCGCAATGTTCGGCTGAAGGTATCGCCAGGTCCGTTTCCTGGCACCGTCGTGACGACAGCACTTAAGCAGGCCATCTGGTGCATCACTGTTCTGTGACTCAGAACCACGCCTCGCAGATCACCGGTGGGCGCTCGCGAGAACTCAATGTACGCCAAGTCTGGCACCGTCAAAGGCGGGACATCATCTTTGCGCTTGGGGTGAAAACTGCCAAACTCGTTCGTCTTCCACCATTCGACCCCTTTTGGCCAGTTAAGCTTCTGTGTTGTTATGTCGCGCTGGAAAGCCTTGAGATTGTTGTCGGTCGTGAGCGCCAAGTGTGCCTGCGTCGACGTGAGGATCAGGTTCAGCTTCTGATAGTCTTGCAAATCGTTGATTGGCACAGCGACGACGCCAGCAATGAAGCATCCAAGCAGAGCAATAGCAAAGTCAATGACTTCTGTGTCGCGGTAAATCAGGGCAACGCGATCGCCGCGGTACAGCGAGCTCTTGTCCCGAATGACCTGTGCCACCTTTTCGGCTCTTGAAGCAAGCTTGTCCCACGTGATGGAGGCTATTTCTTTGCCTTTGCTGTCCAGGACCCAATACGCAGGCAACTTCGCCATCGTCTTGCCTCTGTGCCTCAGAACTGCGGCGATGTTATCAAACTTGGACATGGGGGTGTTGCTGTCGTGCGGGTCGGATATCGCAAACGGAAGATCGCGGGGTTCTAGTGGCATCTGGTACTCGAGCACTTCTGGCGGGGGAAGGTCGTTTGCCGTGAGCATGGGCGGCGCCATGGCGGCCGTTGGCGAGAATGCCTCTCCTGACGAATATCTGTGTCCTCCACCATATTCTTCTTGGCCGTTTTGATCGTAACCTTGTTGGTCGTAACTCTGTCCCTGCTCAAAATTCTGCCCGCCGGTAAACCCTGAGAAGTATCCAGTCGAATCAAGCATCGTGCCCGTCCGGCTATCGTATGGGTTTTGCGCGTGCTGGTCGACGTATTGTCCCTGCTGGTCGGGATTAAAGGCATAATCGGTCGAGACCATGGTGCCCGATCGGGTCGGTGGCTCGTTGCCGGCGCCGAGGAAGAGCGAGTCGTGCTGCTTCATGTTCGGGCGGTGTTCGGCGAGAGGACCGCCAGGTCGAAGGAGACCCGCAGGATTCATGTCGGGGGAGGTATAGCCAACTCTGGGTGATTGGTACCCGGGCGATGCGTAGCCGCCGGAGCCAGGACCGGAGCCGTGACCAGAGCCGTGACCGGAGCCGTGGCCTGAGCCATGACCACCGAATGGCGACTGTGGGCGGTATGAGGCGGGGGATGTCGGACTCGTGGGATCGGAGTCTCTGCCGCCGAGCGCGGCGAGAGCTGCTGCACGGTGGCCATCGCTAGAAGGGTGTCCGGGGTGGTCTGGATCGTGTATGCCCAAGCCGCCTCGGGGTTTGGCAACAGCGGGAGCACTGGCAGACCCAGGGCCCATATATATAGAAAAGAGCTGCGTGCGTCGCTTCTGGTATCTGCAGGGAGAGGGGATCGGTTAGCCGCTGTCGCGACGTTCGTGGGAAACGGGGGAGGGGAGGATCATGAAGGAGGGGTCAGCGCCAACCCTTTCTCTGTGATATCGCCTTCCTGTAGCCACCAGAATGCGTCAGTCAGTGCGGCAAAAGCAACGGCGAGTGCCTCCAGAGAGGCTGCGGGTGCTCGGGCACGATGCGCGCATGCGCAAGGCCATCGTCTCGAGGTTTGAGGTAAGGTTGGGCGATTCCAGACGGTGCCAATAAGGACTTGAGGGGCGCAGACGTACCTCCAACTCCTTTTCCAGCTCCTCGAGCTTGTCCTGCAATTCAGGATCTAATTGTGCAGCCATGACGGGCGAAAACAATGTTGGATACTATGCACAATGAGAGCGCAGGATGCAGCAGCGACAAAACAAAAAGGAAGGGGAAGAAAAAGGTCTAGAATGGGCCGAGACCCCCGGGGTTAAGGGGATTGTGGAGAGAGAGCGCGCGCGCGTGAGAGAAAGAGAGAGAGAGAGAGGCGGAGGGGTGGGAGGTGGTTGAGAGTTCAAGAGGGACGATCGCAAGATGTCGATGTCTCTGTATCTCTGTTTGGATCCCCTCGCCCAGTCTGGTCCAGGTCTTGTCTTGTCTTGGTGATGGCAGCAGCAGTGGTGGCAGTGGTGCTGGCATCCTCCACCCAGTCAACGGAAAGTCTCGTGACGTAGGTTGGACCAGGACAGCAAGAAGTGCAGTCGCTTTACCTGGTTAGGCCAAGGATGGGAGCGAGGCAAGGTTGGCCGAGTCGTTCGGATTAAGAGGCTGGCTGGCACGCTGGGTGGGCGGGAGAGCGATTTGAGCGAGACAGGAAGCCGAAGAGGAAAGGCGGGCTAACTTTGAAAGTACCTTTCCTCGGGACGACTCAGGGTTCGGGGTGGGAACACGGGGAGTTTGGCGCTGCGGCCACACTGGGCCATGTATTTCGTTTGTGGTGAATGATTGTCGGTGCAAAATGTGCTTCGTATTTCTGCCAGGTTTACGATGAGGGGGATCTGCGTGACGGTACCTGTCGATAAGGTAGCCAAGGAAAACCAGTTGTCCCAGTGGCCTGCGTAAGACCTTGAGTGATGCCTGTGAGTAAGTGCCTTATTCAACTGGTCTGATGAAGAAGATGGAATAGTATGAGGGACATGCATCAACAAGTTCATCCTGGCGGAGACGACAGCGGGTGTCAACTCATGAATTAGCATCGAGATCCCGGAGTCACTACTTGGTATCCGAACAGACTTTCAGGTACCCGCAAGGCAATTCGGCACACTTCTCTCTCTCTTCTCTCTCTCTCTCTCTTTCTGTGTGTGTGTGTATGTGTGTATCTCTCTCTTCATCCAGTATTACTCACCGCACGGGGTGGCGGCGGGTGGACGCGATGAGAGCATCGAGACCTTCATGGATCCCGGCTTGGAATGAATACCTGAAATAAGAAAACGGCAGTCAATACTATCGTCATCGACGCCCAGCGTCGCCCAGCACCACCGACATGGACCCCGGGATGTGGCCGCTGAGAACACCCCGAAATCAGGAAATCGGCTCCAGCACGCTCGACGGAGGCATGCCCAAACGGGAACAGAACATCTCCCCTCGGGCCCTTGCTCCCCATCTCCCCCTCTTTGGTCTTCGCATTAGAGGCAAGTCCCCCCCCCGTTGCGTGCTGATCTTCACGCACCATTGCGGAATAGCACACCCACCACGGCGACCTCCAGAGTCCAGACTAAGCCAGTGGCCAAAAGTGGATGATGGGAAGAGCTGTCCAGAGCACCAAAGACCAGGTGAGTTATTTCCGTCGAGCTGCATCCAGGGACCACATTAGACCGCCCCGACTCCCCAGAGCTTGTCCCACAAGGGGAATTCTCCAGCGATGCAAAGTCTGGCTGCCCGCCAATGTCTCGCCTACTCTTCCTCCTTCTCCCTCCTCTCTCATCTGTTCGCGCTGGGTTGGTAACACACAAACACCTTACCCGGTCGGGTCCCAATGGCCCCTCTTGCTCAGCGCAGATCCACAATCATTCGCTACTATCTGGATTGCATCATTGGCTCGGTTAAATGCCCCGATCGAGCTGATATACCCCTCCCAGAGAGGAATGGGGCCAAAAATACCAGGAGCAGGGGTTCGTTCCTCCAAACGGCTTCAAGAACGCACGGCCCATGACAGGGCTACGGGGCCCTTTCATTCGTCGCCGACCTTGATGGTCAACGTCCCCCACGTTTTACCGCCATCAACCAGAAAATTTCCATTCTTTCTTTAACTTCATCAACACCCATCCCGTCTTTCACTCACCTTTCTCTGCCTGCTGACGACTCCGCGAGGACCTGAGAATCGGAGATGGCGTACGGATAGAATTGTCCCTACCGCCACCGGCTTCTAGCCGGTTGCCTCACACGTATGGGAGAGCATCTTGGGGTTCAGCCAAACCCGCCCGTGCCTAGTCCAACCGTCTCGGAACAGGAGGCGGTAGACAGTGTCTACATCAACGGACCGATTTGCTCTTTATTCCTTGGCACTTCTTTTTACCGGACAGCATGGTATGATGAATGCTAGGTCATAGACGCCTTTGAGCATCGTTTACCGCCCCGTCGAAACCAAGGATCGTCGAGGTCGCACGACCCTGGGTTCTTTCCTCGTGGCGGCAGTGGCCGAAACGACGCGACCAGAGAGGATTTTTCCGAGGTCGTCGTTGAGTGGTCTTGATTCCTCGACATGGGACGCGAGACACGGGGCACGTGAAACGAGAACTTGCGAGTCCAGATTGTCAGAGGCCCATGGCAGGGGCTCTCAGTCTAACTACGCCTTGCTAATCCAGACTGGCAAACCATCTCAGGTGAATCATCCATCCCATGATCCATCTCCTCAGTCAAATGGTATGTCAAACGTTTTTTTTTTTTTTCTTTTTCAACCTAATCTTTAACCCCCACCAGAATGATGAGAGAAGCATTTTACACAGACCTGTTCGGAATTTTCTGTCGAGGAACAAGCATTTTACTCCTGATATCAAAATCATCAACCACACCTTTCTTCAGCATCTTTAGTATGCCTCAATCGCTGACGAAAATTTAGGCAGGAATCTCTTCATTGCGCAAAGCCAGGCTGCCCTCGCTCAGGTCCAGGAAGATCGTTGTTGAGGAACAAGAAAAGAGATTCCTCTTGTCTCTTTTTGCCAGTGTCTTGTTCTCGCAATTTTTTCGTTTATTCCGCACACTTTGTCTATGTCCATCTATCTATAATATCAATACCAACCTTTGTCCACCAGACACTCTTCAAACTCGTCGAACAATGTCGGCTCCCCGCGTCTTCGTTGACAATCACCAAGCTTCTTTATGCACGTCCTTCTTCATTGAGCTCGAGTCGGCTCTGCCACTGGGAAGGGATGGCTAGTGCATATAAAACATCTTATGCGCCCTCCTTCCCCAGTAACCTCTCTCTCCCCGACCTTGGACTATCCAGATATTCGATTCTTTTCCACTTTGCGCCATATATACTACTCACCTTTAGCTACAGAAAGTTCAGGCTCAACTACAGAGAAACCCTTGCAATTTCATTTCCATTTCTAAAAGATATCGTAGGAAAAGTTGAGCGGCAAGGGAACGGACGGCATCACAAACTTGAAGCCGACGACTCTAGATCAGCTCGGAAGACACCAGGCCATGATCCTGTCCACCCCGATAACGGACACATTCAGCCCGGTCCAGCTCCCCGACACGCTCTTTAACTTCGTCGATAACTCTCACTTTGACGCCGACTTGTTTTTCAACTTTGACGACGCTTGCATCGAAGGGCCGGTCCCAAAAGTAGAGGAGCCCTCACCCACAACCTTAACCGCACATATCCCAGCGGCCATCACCGAGCAGACCATGACAACACAGTTCTCTGACAGCCAGATCTCGGATGGCTCGCTTTTCGGAGGTAACGAGAACTTCAACGATGACGTGTTTGTCAAGCACGAAGATGAGGAGGAGACCAAGCCCGCGCAGGGCGCGACGATAAACCCCAACGCCCTCGTCCTCACACTACCCGAAACACCACCTCCGACCACCATGGACGGCTTCCCTCTTGCGCTACCGAGCATAGAACCAGCAGGATTCAAGCTAGAGCATCAACAAGATTTCAAGCAAGAGTTCAAATACGAAGCTACACCCTTCGCCGACGATCAACACCTCCAGGCCCTGTTCAAAGAACTCGAAGGCCCCATCGCCGAGGCCCTCCAACTCCCCTCCATCGGGACCCCGACTCCGGTCCCAAATGAACCACACTGTGTCCCCACCTCGTGGTCCTTCCCCACGCTGGACGTGCCGTGGCCCTCCTTCGACGATATTGGATCCAGTGGTCCCGCCCAGGGCCACAATTCTCATCCGGCGGCGGCGCTGGGTGGGAGTGGTGGCGGTAGTGGTGGCGATCGTCCCTTTGCTCCTCCTCTTCGAGACATGTTTGCTCCGCAACGACCGTGCGGTGACCGCCCGTCTTCTGCCGTCGGAGACGCCCGCGAAGTCTTTGATAGCCTCGACGCCTTTGGCTTTGGCAACTTCAAGAAAGAAACGACCTTTGACGGCCTCGACACCTTTAGCTCTGCCGCCATCAAACAGGAAACCCCCACCTTTGACGGTCTCGACACTTTCAGCCCTGCCGCCATCAGACAGGAAAACCCCAGCTCTGACGGCCTGGACGCCTTCGATTTCAGCAACATCAAACAGGAACCGACCGACAACCTCTTCATCGCCCCGCCGCCGCCGCCTCAACCCCAGCAGGTGATCCCCAAGCCCGAGCTCGACCCCCCCTTCCTCCCCGACTTGGCACACGTTTCGGCCGGTCAAGTCCCTTTGACCTACAATGAGGACTCGGTAAATCTCCTTTACTCCCTCCTCAGACTCACTTCTCTGACCGCTCCACAGCTTATCCCTCGCAGCGTGCCCGCTGTCACTCCCACCGCCGCCGCTACCGCAACGACGAGACTAGCGCACCCCAAGCCCAGGTCGCTCCCTCGCGATGCCGACTTCATCCACCACCGTAGCCTGTCGTCCGCGCCGCCAGACATGACTCCCTACAAAAACCTCAACAGACAGGGCATCTTTGAATCCACCATCCCTGTCCCCTCCTCGTCGTATATAACTCCCGCTCAAACTCCCCTCAGAGACCCCACAACGCCGATCGTGAATGGAAAGGTCCTCCAGCGCATCCCCAAGCCGGCCAAGGCCAAGGACATAGACGTATCGGACTGGTACGACCCCCATCCCGAGGCCCCGGCGCCCTGGGGCGGCATGGACCCTACGAAGCCTATGTTCCAGTATAATAAAGAGGGCGAGCTGCTGCCGACTCTGCGCTTCACCCGGGAGCAGATCTTGTACTACATCAGGGAGCGGAAGCAGCGCAACCTTCCCCTCACCCTCTGGATTCAAAACGTCCCCCACGGCTGCAAGAGGCGAGTCGGAGACGACAGGCTACGCGCGTGCCGCTGGTCAGGCTGCCCAGCCTACAAGGGCACCATCTTAAAGGGCTTCTGGCGCGTCTGCTTCGACGAGCGGCCCGATACGTCGGGAAAGCAGCACGATCCGTACCACAACGCGGGCTACATGCACCTCTGGTGTCTGGATCGCTGTTTCGATCTCTTCGAGATTGCTGAGGCGTTCGGTCTGAAGCCCGATACCCGCCACTTTGTAAAGGAGGCACGTAACCCCATGGCCATGACCCGTGATCACGACGAGCTGGTGATGGAGTTTGAAGAGTGGCGCACGTCCCAGGAGACCGCCTACATGGAATGGCAACAGGCGTCAGAGGCCAACAGGAGGAGGGGTGCCCCCGTCCAGAACCGCCAGGTCAGCAAAGAAGCCAAGCTGTGGTACGTGCTGACGACCAAGCACCTGGCGTTGGAGACTCCGGTACGGAACAACATGCGAATGAAGAGAAACGGCATTTCCATTGACAAGCACAAGGGGGACCTCGACTGGTACGTTGCGAAAGTGAGCGAAAAAAAGTTGAACAGAAGGGGGCAATATGTCGTCGACAGCGACGATGAAGACGCCAACGAAACCCAGGCGAGCATGGCCCGTCCGGGTATCGATAAGAGAAAGCGCGAAGATTACGAGGATGACGAAGATGACAGTATCTCCCAAGCCCAGAGAGCCACTGGGAACAAACGTTTCAAAGACTCGTTTTATTCGTCTGTTGAGAGACGTTGATGCCATTGTCATTGATGAAGAATCACGCGCTCTTGATATTTTTGTGATTCGCGGCCACCTTAGGGGTTTTTTTTGTCCCCCCCCGTGCTTGAGCGTAGAGGACCGGCGCAAGGAGCTTTATTCACGCGACTATGATTAGCATACTCAGGATTGATACCCATATTAAACAAGGAGGCACCAAGGAGGAGGGGAGGACTGAGGAGAAGAGGAATACCATCCTGGCCTGAGGCCTTGAAGAACCAGATACAAACTTCCTAGTATCAATATGATTAATAAGAGATCTACAACCAAGACTTGAGTGCATTTCTTGAGCGACAAGCGTGATCCCTGACTCACAATCCACGCTCATGCCAAGGGTCCTAGAGCTAGGGCCGACGCGGCCGCCATGTGCCGGTTCCAAACGGTTGGGCGGCAGGCTTCGGGCCTAGAGCCCGCGCTAACGGAGCTCAAATCGACCCTAGAGATATGGAGAGGCTCGGGCAACTGCTGTTTGAGGGCGCCAGAAAGTGGGCGCGGAGGGGGGCGGATGAGATTTTGGATCAAGAGCCATGGTCTAGTTGCGTGGCCCTAACATAAGAGAGTTTCGATTAAGAGAAGCGGAATGGAGGGATGGCCGGAAGCGGTGACGGGGTAGCATGGGTGAGCACACATTTGGGCGACGGGGACTTGGGCAACGAGTTGGCAACACCGCGGTCCGCAAAAAGCAGGCGGGCAGAAGCCGAACAGAGAGACAGACCTGAAAGGAAGGCAGGTCGGCCAAGGTGAAAGCGGGCCGCGGTGTTGGTGCAAATGAGCCGTAGCTGTTGCCGGTAGGAAACATTGGCATAATTACGAAAGCGCGGCGAGGCCGAGGGAAGTAGGGGCGCTAGTCCTGAAAGGAGGTGCGACGATGCAGGATGGCACGGCGCAAGTAAGATGGTATGGAGCAGCGTCCTCTCAACAGAGCCGCTGGTTCGCTTCCTATTGAACGGTCGATGGACCTTTTGCTCCTCTGTGTGTAAGTCAATCACGCAGGGCAGGGAGGGAATGAGGCGGACACAGAGCTGTGTGCGTGCTATGCGTGCGCGCGCGTTGGCGTGGGCGGAAAAAACGAAGCTAAAGGGCTGAAAGAGCTGTGGTTGGTGTTGTGTCAGTCAAGGTTGGGGGACGAGACGACATGAGGGTATCTACATAGTAGCTCATGGGAAGTACAAATACGGGTGCGCCGTGCTCGAAGTCACAGTTGCAGTCGTAGCCATCACTAAGGTACCCGGTAGTCTGTCCATCCTTGTGTAAGGAGACTCGACATGGGTGTCATCAACGCCTCCATGAGGCAGTTTTGACTCAAATATCGACCAAAGTAAATCTCGACTGCCTTGTTCCTTGTTTCCTCACCTTCTTCCATTATTCCATTTTTGTTCTCTGTCTTGGCAGTTTGCGACAAAAGGCCAAGCCAATCACGACTCATCGCATTGGATTCCCGAAAACGTACAGGTCGTATTACCAGAGCGCCTCTCCCGTTGGGAAGGGGGTGTTAGTGTCTGATACGCTTCATCCCATCACGGAGATTGAGGGCAACTTGGGATTGTCTTGGTGCGGCATCGAAGCCCGCTCATCCCCGCGAGTGGTCGGCGATCGGACATCAGACGGCACAGAGCTGGAACACTGGGCTGAAGCTTAGCTGTGACGGGCATCGGGTGAATATCCACGGCATCTTTACGGCGTCCTGGAAGAGCCTGGGCGACAACAGCCAAAGCCGAAACAGGGCTTGGCAGCATTGACTGAAGACTGGCAGGGGAGCATCTTGACTGCAATTGAGTTTATGGTGACGAGAGACGGAGGCAGATGTCCAGCCGACGACCAAGATTGGATTTGAAGCTTTGGAGAACGAGCAGCGAGAATTGATGCGACGACACCTAAAGAAGAAGACAGCACATTGCGCAGAGTTGTGAGTTTGCGAGGAAGAAGCCTGCCACGTTGCGCGACGAGTTGTAACGCTTGGTTTCCTGGATTAGGAGGCGCCTTGCCGACTGAGAAAGGAAAGCACTAAAGGGAAAAAGGGAAAAAGGGAAAAAGGGACGCACTGCCTGAAGATCTGGAGCTGAAGACGACTGGAAGCTCCAAGATAAAGTACCGCCTACCTTGGGTAACCACCTTAAGGTAGTCCACCATCCGATCCTATATCTTTCGGGAAGTCACAGCCGGAAGGTTGGAGTGTCAACGTGCTTTCCTCCTCCCTAGCCGTTGCCTTGGGTTCCTTGGATACGGTACCTACCTTGAGGGAGAGGAAACAGACAATATCCGTAAGAGGAAGGAATTAGGAGGAAGGAGGAAGGACCACGCGCAGATCGGAGTGCACGAGCCAACCTTAGGTAGTGAGCACCTACCTATCCGACCATACTTTATTGCAGGTGGGCAGTACCTTAAGCAGTAAGGTACCTTAAGGTTCCTCAGAGGCTCACCACCGCACCAGGTTGACTTGCACGACGCACCTCAGGAGCAGGAGGCAGGAGGTGCCCTACCTATCATTAGTCACCAGGTCTGAGGTCGGCCCTTGCGAATTCTCAGTGTTGCGGTGGTGTTTGTGGTATCACTTGCCGCTCATCCCGACAACGCGCAGCCATCACGCAGCACATTCTGGCCCAGCAGTCAGGTACCTATTAATTAGTTGCCGTCGGGTCGGCTCCATCCCACAACGACACCCCGACCGACACCCCCCGCCCCCCCCCCAATCCCCCCTTCAAAGTTCACCCATCCGCGTTCCTCATTGTCACTGCACTGGAGCTACACCCGACCGGGGTCGCTTATGCTCGCTCACCCACTCACCCATATCGCATCGCATTCGCAGCTGCACCTGCACCTGCACCTGCTCCTGCACTGCTCCTGCACTGCTCCCGCGTTGGCTTGCCTTTCCGCCGCGTCAAAGCAACGAGCCTCGATGCTGAACAAGCATTCAAGCAACAAAGCCATTCAAAACCCTGCCCTTCGGAGTTGATTGAGCACCACTGCTGCCTCCCGCACCCACCACCACCCACCACCACCCACCACCAACCACGACCCGACCAGCTTGAGCTCTCCACTCTCCAATTAATACCGTACACTGCACAGAAGCACCGCCGTCTGGGGCACCAGTCAAACCCACCTATACCGGGAGCAACGACGTCGGCCTTCGGACAAGCCGTCCATCTCATCTCGAGATCCATCCACGTCCCTTTTTTTCTTCCCTCTCTCTCTCTCTCTCTCTCTTTTCCTCACTGGTTTGCTGTGAGGAGAGACTGCCGAAGAAAGACAATATCCAAAAAAAAAAAAAAAAAAAAAAAAAACAAAAACAGGTTTGTTCCCCCCACCCCCCCCCCTAACCCCCCCCCCCCCCTCTTTTCTACCCCCCTCCCCCCCCCCACCCCCACCCCCCCTCCCTCCCCCCCCCCCCCCCCCCCCCCCCCCCCCCTCCAAGCCCCAGCCCTGTTTCGTTCCGACTACCTCCATCAAGATCGCAAAACTGTGTCTTTCTCCTGTCCATCGTCTAGCTCGATTCTCCTTCAAATCTCTTACATACTTCCCTCTCCCGGCAACCTTACGCCCGTCATTGTGCCTTCCACGCATCTGCCACACCAGTCGCCTTTTATTGCCGACCTGGGTACCCACGAAATATCCCGAACCACTCACCGGCGACACCTTCACCCCGCGCTCACCGGCGATCTCACTCAGATTGCAGATTCCAGATCTGTCAGCCCCTGCATACCAACCATCAATCCCATAAGCCCGCCCAGTACGACCACCGTCGTGGTGTCGCATGCCAATTCCACCTGCTGTGCCGTTCCGTCTTGTCTACCGTACTCGTCGGTTCCATTACCTCATCGTGGCATCCCGTCTCGGTGCGTCGGTGCTTTTGTAGAGGCGGCATTGGCTGCGCTCTCGGCATTGGGAGGAATTCTAATTCTATCAACCCTCTCCGCATCTGATTTCTCCGTCTCGCATCAACACCCAGTTCACCATGGAGGATACAAATGGAGAGAAGTCGGAGAATTCCCATCGGCCGGCCTTGCAAGTCATTGTCTTGGTATGTTTCGCTCTCATATCTCATGTCTTCTCATGTCTCTCTTGCTTGACTTCCCGGCCAACTTCAACGTCGCAACTCGTGCGCGTCCCCTTTCATAGCGCCGAGGCATGTTGAGTGCCGACGTCGCGAGTGTCTCTTCTGAAGGGAGGAAAAGTCCCCCACGAGATCATCCCGACCCAGCCGAGCGGCGCATTCTCCTGTCGTTCATGCAGTCAACTTTTTAGGATGCGCCAGCCGCACCGAACCGGAAATCCATGCTGCAGGCGCCTCACCCCCTCTTGGAAGCTTTTGCAAGTGCAGCAGCCTTGGGTGAGGGAGATTTGGCAGTTCTTCTTCATCAATTTGGATGTGCTCTCGACCTTGGAAAGACACTCTTCAATGTGATGGAGAGTGGCCTGCAGCTTCTTGGCCTGGGACCCCCTCATAACGTGCCCCGTCCTCGCATCCCCGCTAACCCACTTTCCAGGGCGCCGGCGGCGGTCCCCAGGAATCCAACACAACCGCTCTTCTGGTCCGCTCAGTAGCCTCGGGATGGACGAAAGGCTCCATCATCGCCGTAGATGCCGGTGTTCACCTCTCTGCCATTACACGCATTCTCGAAAGGACAGCACCTCTAGGTCTCGGCACCGACCATCCCCTTCCCCACATCCTCGCATCCGGGCCATTTGCTGGCCTGCAGCTTACACCAAACAGCGGTTTGGAACTCACCTCCGGCGCAGTGTACCCATCATCTATCGCCTCTTATATTACTCGCTCTCTCATCGACACTTATGTGATTACTCATCCCCATCTGGATCACATCTCTGGCTTCGTCGTCAACACAGCAGGCCTCACACGACCCAAGCGCCTTGCCGCCTTACCCTCTACGATAAACGCCCTCAAAACTCACATCTTTAACAATGTCATTTGGCCCAACTTATCTGATGAGAATAATGGCGCGGGCTTGGTCACTTACACTCGGCTCGTCGAAGGCGGGTCACCAGCCATTGGCGATGGTGAATCCAAGGGGTATCTAGAGGTCGCGGATCGCCTCGCCATCAAGGCATATTCTGTTTCACATGGCCACTGCATCGAGCGACATCCTCACCGTGGTTCGACGTCCTCCACGGCGACACCGCTCCGATATCCGTCTGTTGATGCCGCCTCTATGGCATCCCCGCGCCTTTTGCCATACGGCATGGCCTCAAGTGCGGCGCATATCCCTCGAGCCCCTTCGGTTGCCCCGGAGCCGCAGGCCAGTGTATGCGTTTACGACTCATCAGCCTACTTCATCCTCGACATGGCTACTAACCTGGAGATACTGATATTTGGAGATGTCGAGCCGGATTCCATGTCACTCTCCCCTCGCAATCTACAAATTTGGGAAGAAGCTGCACCGAAGATTGTCGCGGGCCAACTCGCAGCCATCTTCATCGAGTGCTCGTACGACGACTCACACTCTGACGACCGCTTATTCGGTCACCTGAAGCCCCGCTACGTGTTGGAAGAGATGCATGCACTAGCTCAGATGGTTGAGGAGGCGCGAGGAGACGCTCATGCCTCCCGGAAGCGGAAGCGCGTGGCAGAACCCGACACAATACCACGGCGACGGACGGGCGGCGCCTTTTCGCGCCTTGCGGTGGGCGGCGACGAGTCTCCAATCAGCCCCAAGTCGGTAGCCAAGCGTGCCGTGTCTGCTGACATTGGCCACGTACCACCACTCCCACCCGCGGCTACATCGGTAGAGAGCCCGCACTTGACTACTCCAACGCAGGAACTTTCTCTTCGAGAGGCTGAGGGGTGGAGCGAGGCGGAGGATGGGCACTCCAAGGGCCCACCTCTGAAGGGCGTCAAAGTTGTCATCATCCACGTTAAGGATCGCATGGATGGCAGGGACCAAGGGAAACTGATTTTGCAGGAGCTGCAGGCACATGAAGAGGATGCACAGCTGGGTTGCGAGTTTATCGTCTCCCATGCGGGACAGAGTCTCTACCTTTGAAACTCCTTTGGCTGGCGTTTGGACACTGGATGATTCGGATGCCGATTCCATGAAGATATGAATTGCATGAGGCTCTCACGATGAGGATAGGTGCAATGGGATATCTCGGAGTTTGAATGGGGGTTGGGACACAGGTGGAGGCAGGGGTATGTACTGTGTATTTGCGTGCACTTTTTTGTCGCGTTCTATATATCCATCGGAGGCCCTGTTTGACAACGGGCCACCGCGTCTGCTTTAACTGCCACCTAATATCTATTATTTCATCTGAGGTGGCGCATCCGCATTTGGATTTTGTGGACTTCCATTCCAGTCCACCTCTATCTCGATGAATACGCGTGCGTGTCGGTGTTTGAAACGAAGTCCGTCAGGAACCTCTATTGCTCGTTCTTCTTAAGCTTCTCGTAGCCCTCCTCGCCACCAATGTTGGAATCCCAATCTGCTCTAGGGATCTCCAAGACCTCGGTAGTGCGGCCGTACGTAATGCCTCCCAACCTGCTGACCGGGCGAAGTACCTAGCGAGTGTCGAGTTAGAATCGGATTTCCGTATAACGTAGGGTTGCGGGAAGGAGAAGAACAAGAAGCAGAGGAAGGGCCAGACGATGATGGATAACTTACAGTAGAATCAACGATATTCTTCTGCTCATTGATGGCATCCTCCCGCACCCAAAAGTTGACGCCCTCGATAAACACGGTAACACTGCTCGTCTTCCCCGGCGTAGCGCGCGACTCCCACTCCTTGAACGAATCCAGCTTCCCCTCGATGCTGAAGACGGCCTCCTTGACGCGCGCGGCCTGCACGTGCTTGCAGTCGTAGACGGGCGTGAGGCCGCTGACGTCCCATTCGGACTTGCCGTAGGGCGCGTTGACGGCAGTGGCGTTTGCGGCCTCGAGGAAGCCCTCGGAGATGATGTTGATGACGCACTCTTTGCTTTCGAGGAGGCACTTGAGGGAGTCTTTGGGCTTTTGGACCGAGGCGGCGAAGCCGACGACGAACATGGGGGGATCGTGGTTGACCAGGTTGAAGTAGCTGAAGGGCGCGAGGTTCGTGACGGTGCCGTCGGGGGAGCGGGTGGAGAGGAAGGCGACGGGGCGGGGGGTGATGGCGGAGATGAGGAGTTTGTAGTTGAAGCCTGCTGGGCGGCCTGCCTCGTGGGGATCGATGGCGACGTGCGGGACGGAGGTGCCGGCGCCGGTGCGGCCGAGGTGGTTTGCGCCGGAGCCAAAGTGCCAGTCGGGGTCGATTGTTTTTGTGAAGCGGATTTTGGCGGCGGCGTCAAACGGCGGGCGGGTTGATTCTACGGATTTGAAGTCTGGGTGGGGGTTATGGGTTGCTTGGGTGCCGCCGGCGAATTTGGAGTTGTTTTGGGAGGTCATTGTGAGGGTTCTTTTCGAGCTTGAGCTTGTGATGGTGGTGGAGGAGGAGGAGGGGAGGATGGAGGTTATCGGTGAGGGCGATGAGAATGGTCTGGCGAGGCTGCGGAAGGGGATCGTGGGCGCGAAACGGAGGGCGGCGGTGCGTGAGGGCATTGTTCTGGGTAGGAGAGCGCGCCGGTCGTCGCGCAGCTTTATATCGCGGGATTACGGATACGGAACCGGGCGTGGAGGGGGGAGGCGGGGAAGGGGGGAATTAGAAGCTTTGGGGTCTCTTCCGATCCTACCTTATTGTACTCGCTCAAAAATTGCGGCATGTTGCTTACGGATGTTACCTTGCTTAGGTACCTTAGCTTACTTGACCTTGCCGTAAGGCACACACACCCGACCCCCGACGCGACCCTGCGTCGGTCTCCTCCTCTCGGATGGTGGAGTAGGTAGATGCCAAAGACAGGGTGGAGGGGGGAAGGTGGAGGTTCACCCAAATTCACCTCCAAATCCACGCCCATGCCGATTAGCTAGGTATATCTTTTTATTTTTTCCTCTTTCGGAGGGGCAGTTTTGGAGGGGGTAACGCGCAGGGCTCGAGGGGTGGTCCTTGTCCATGATGCAATTGACTTGGGGCAGTTGGGGTCGTCGCATAATGCATCACCCAGGACGTTTTTGACTGGCTGATGATATTTGGAAAGAATCGACATGGCTGGCTTCGGCTCTTGTTCCCAAGAATGACGCCAGTCGGGAACAAGGTACAGCAATTTGGCGATTGACAAATTGGTGATTGGTAATATCTTCCAAGGGGGGCAGGCGGAGAGGGGCAAAAGTCAAAGGCACTCCTCCGGTCGGGTTCTTGCACGTGGAGAGAGAGGCTTTGGCCTTGAACCGTGTGTCGACTGCCAGCTCCAAGTGGTTGATAAGATAGACTTATCAAGATAAGCTTCTCTGTCAGCTAGGTGTCAATGGAACAGTCAAGCACACGCACATATTTATCTAAGGTATGTACTGTTGTAAGCACTCTGTGAAGTACCTAAGACATGGTGTAATGTCTAGAGGGTTGAGAATGCTGAATACTGATCTTCTTGTATTTTGGTGTGTTTGGGTAGATTAGCAATCACTCTTGACCTTGAAGAATCCGAAGCACCTGATTCTGAGTTTGGAACATTTAAGACCTTCGAACCCTGGCCACTAACCAACGCTGTGGGTTATCTCTCTTTCTTATCGCTCGGGCGCCCATGTTCCTTTTTAGTGTTGTTGAGGGCTGGCGGCAGCACATCTCTTCTCCGATGAGATGAAGTGTCTCAACGGCTGAGCGCGGGGAAGCTGGCGACAGATCCCAAGCGAGGGGACACGCGACAGACATCCCACACATCCCTTTTCAGAGACATGGGGCTTGAAAACCCACGGGTTCCTCCAGTTGAGTACTCGGGATTCGCGTTGAGAGGCGAGAAGCAAGAGACAGAAAAGATTCCTGCCCAGACGGCGGGGTTTGTGCTGATCAACATTAGGAGAAGCTCCGTGGGGGGACGGGAAAGCCACCTCGGGCATTTTGATCCCCTTTTCACTCACTCACCGTGTATGTTCCCTGATGTGTCGTGTGTGTGTGTACCTCGTCCCCCCGCCATTCCCACCCACACGGCGCGTGGCATGGCGGACTTCCTCCGCAGCGGGCATTGGCTCTGTTTCGCATGCAAGGACTCACCGCGGCGGCCGATGGAATGCTTCCGGGTGTTGGCCACCCTTTGCAGGAACGCTACTCTGCTTTGCTTTTGCGTGGGCGTAGGTATGTGCGATCTCAACAATCCGAGCGTGCGTGCAGAGTAGGTCAGAACGTGTTATATGTATATATATCTCGGTGGGACGCCCTAAATCAGGCACAACAGCCAAAATCCTAAAAAGCGCCTTTCACTTGAGGGACCGCCCCTTCATCACAAATATAAACACGAGATCCAGTCTTCTAGTCATCCATCATGAGCGCCATTCGCTCCTCGTCCTCAGCCCTCCTCCTCCTCGGAGGCGTCGCAACCCTCCCCGGCGCCGCTACGGTCCGCAGCCAGTTTCCGCAGCGGAGCAGTGCTCTCTCCACCACGGCCGAGCAGGCCGAGCTGGGGTACATGCAGCAGCCACTCGGCCCCGCCAGCGGCCGATCGACGACCCACACGGCCGCCGCGAAGCTTAGCAGCGGTGCTTCATCGACATCGTCAGCACGAGGTCTCGGGTGGCAGCAGACCCATCAGGCCTTATGACTGCCCCGGACGGCGGCGCAGGTGGTCACCATGTCGACGATCCAGGCGCGCCCTCGGCTGAACAATAGCGTCACAGCGGGATTCCGACAAAAGTCTGCTGAGGAGGCGGTGGCGGTTGTCCTCGGGCGGAATCAGCAATATCAGAAATACTCATCCTTGCGGCCTATGAAATGAGATTGCAATGTGGTGTTTGGAAAGGTCAATGGACAAAAATGCGGTCTTCTGTTGGTGAAAACGGCAGGTTGGCAAGGAGGTTGGCGTTGAGATTGGCGTTCAAGGGCTCCTGTGATGGAAGAAAGCCATTGGTTAATTTTTGATTTCCCAGCGACCAAGGCAGATATGAATTGACGTGAGCCATCTCATGGTTGGCATTGTAAACGGACTCCAGGTTTCGGAGCTTAGGTTAATTAGATGGATAAATGGCATTGGCAGTCTACCTACGGATATGCTGGTCGAGGAAACTGGTTCCCCATACACGTCGCGTTATGTAATCCTCCAAACTATGTGGGTTTAGGTAGTCTGACTAAGGTAAAAGGCAAGGTGGCCATCACGTGTAGCTGATAAGACGTTATCGGCGCCAAAGGGTCCCTTTCTGCGGAAAGTTTTCTGGCCGACTGCAGTCACTCCCCGTCGCCGCAACAGTCACAGTTCCAGCCAGTCAAGTCGGTCATTTTTGCAGCTGCACGCTACCCTTCTCCAATGTGTTGATATCCACCATTAATTTTTTGGTCTTCCCTTTTGTGAGCCTTTGCGCTCCCCACCCTCCTTCTACCCCATGTACCGCCCGTATATCCAAAGGCATGTGGCGCAAACATTGAATCGTTTTCCCAACACCTCGCTTCCCTGGAAAGGAGCCAGAGCCTTCCCAACCGTCTCTTCACGGCTTTGCTACCACGATAAATCCAAGCCTTCACCTCTCTCTGCCGCGGAGTTTGAGGCAAAATTCGAGTCGAAGCTCCATACCCAACCAAGGTCACAACCAAGGCCACAGCCAAGTTCCAAGGCAAAGTCCGAAACGAAAGAATTCGAATTCATCAACGACAAGAACGGAGCCAAGCGTCGACCGTTCACCAAGGGCGTCGGTTTTTTTCGCTCCTCTCCTTCCAATATCAAAAATATACCGAGCGCCAGACGTTCGCAACGAGAAGCCAATCCATTTCGCCAAACATACTCTCTGAATACAAACGTTCGCGGCACACGCCCACTGCCCACGGCCGAATACTTGGCCTCGGTCGTAGGACGGAGAGCACCAGGTGGTCTTGCCAGTAGGAACGTCATCCGTGGTGATCCAACGTCGTTCCCCGGCAAGCGGGTATTCCTCATACCTGCCAACTGGAACAAGGTCTCGGCGAAAATCCCAGACTCTTGGATTGCCTGCGCAGACCTGATTCAAGGGCCGTTGACGGAACAGATCGGATACACAAAGTTACCTCCAGCTGGAGCAAAAGACGCTCTACGCGCCGCCATGACAAACTACGTTCAAATCGCGGCGACGCCGACGGCGGACACAGGGACCTCCCTGGTGCTGCACTTCGACCAGCGACGCTACCTCTTTGGCAATATTGCAGAGGGAACACAGCGAGCTTTGAGCCAACGCAAAGTGAGCATGGGCAAGCTGGAGATCATGTTCATATCGGGTTCGACTGTGCAGAAAAACACTGGCGGCATGATTGGCATGATGCTTACCGTTGCCGATGTTCTCGACGGTAGCCGGAGAGAAGTGCATGAAAGGAATCAGGCGCGGAGGGGCACAGGAAAGAAACTGATCGCGCCCAAGGGCCCCGAGCGAATTGAGATTCACGGTGCCAAGAACCTCGCATACTCCGTCGCAACAGCGAGAGGGTTTGTCTTCAGGAAGGGACTTCCAATTCGCGCCGTCGAGCTGTACAAGGATCCGAGAATTGCCGACCCCGACGCTACCACTCCTGACTGGCAGGACGAACTCATTCAAGTGTGGAAGGCCCCCATTTCATCCGACATTGTCGCCAAGTCCCGCAAGAGAAGCCATGAGGTCATGAGGGCCGAAGATGAAGTCCTGTCGAACCCGGCAAGCAAAAGGACTGTCCCGGCCGAGGAGCAGGCGGTCATTGATCAAGAAGCGATCAAGGGTATTGTCGAGAGCATGTTCAACTCGGACTGGACCATGGACAAGCTCTTCGAGACGAAGCTTTCCGAAGTCAAGCTCCCTGCTACTATCTTTATTAGAGAGGATGGGAACATCAAAAAGTACGAAGGCCCCATGCCGGGCGGCGACGAACCTGTACCTGACATAACCGTCCTTGTGCGGTACCCTTGGCCAGCGGCTACGGTTGAAAAATTGCCCAACGCCTCGCTCTCAGACACCGCCGTCTGCTATGTCGTCAAGAATAAGGGCCGGAGAGGCAAGTTCAATCCGGTTGCTGCGAGGGAGCTGGGCGTCAAGCCCACTGACAACAAGAAACTCACCGAAGGAGTGTCTGTACAAGGCAAGGATGGGAATATCGTGACACCCGAGATGGTCCTCGAGGCGCCGATCAAGCCTCAGGGCTTTACAGTCATCGATATCGCAGACGCCTCCTACATTGACTCGTTCCTTGGCAGGTCGGAGTGGCAGAATGCGAAGTTGATGGATGGTATACCCATTTTCCACTGGATCCTGGGCCCGACTGTTATCGACGACCCGCGGATCCAGAAGTTCATGAAGGAACGGCCAGATGTCAAGCACATTGTCATGTCTACAGACACCAGCCCGAACATGCTGGCGTTGGAATCCTACGCCGGCCTCCATAGCAACCTCCGCCGCATCGACCCTGACCGCTTCCCACAACTTGACTTTGACAACACAATCCGGGACCTTTCGTATATCGGGCCCAACGTGGAGGCTGGTCGTGTCGGCATGAAGGCCAAGCTATCACCTGCATACGAGCTCGTCAGGGATGAAATTGTTCCCCCGATCTATGAGTTCAAGGGCAACGAGCTGAACAAAGACGTCATGAGACTTGTCGGCGAGGCCACGGAAAAGGTTAAAGAGCCTGCCTTCCTCAAAGAGATTGAAGAAGCAGAGCAGGATATCCCTAATCGAGACACAGAAATTATCCCTCTCGGTACCGGATCTGCTGTGCCATCCAAGTATCGCAACGTCTCTGCAACCCTGGTCCGGGTACCCCAATACGGCAACTACCTTTTCGACTGCGGCGAGAATACTCTCGGTCAGCTTCTACGGACATTTGGGGCGGAGGAAACAAACAAAATCCTTCAAGATACCCGTTGCATCTTCATCAGCCACATGCATGCAGACCACCATCTCGGAACCGCACGGTTCCTGCGTGCTTGGCACGAAGCCACCGCCGACCTCATGCCTCAGCCTCAACTGGGCATCGTGGGCCCGGGTGCCATGCAATACTTCTTGATGGAGTACAGCCGCATCGAACAAATCGCTTTTGGACGCGTGAAACTTATCAGGAAGGGCCACGTCTTCCCCCACCATGAAGGACGCCTCCCCGCCGACTGCCCCACGCGCCTCGCCTCTGTCCAGCTGGTGCCGGTGAACCATTGCAAGGACGCCTACGCCGGCGTCCTGACTTGGCCGTCGGGTCTCAAGATCGCCTACTCGGGCGACTGCCGGCCCAGCGATAAGCTCATCGAGGCCGGCAAGGGCGCCACGCTGCTGATCCACGAGAGCACCTTTGACAATGACAAGGTTGGCGACGCGCTGGCCAAGAAGCACAGCACCTTGGGCGAGGCCCTCAAGGTGGCGCACAAGATGGGTGCGCGCCGCGTCCTGCTCACGCACTTTTCGCAGCGGTACGCCAAGCTGCCGCTCGTGGAGCAGCGGAAGACGGATAGCGGTGTCGATCAGGCTGTGTTGATGGCGTGGGACCAGATGCGGGTCAAGCTGGGCGAGTTCCGCCAGGCGCAGGCCTTCTTGCCCGCCATCAGCCGCTTCATGGAGTATGTTTCCTGGAGGGAGGATGAGGCAGAATAGATTCACCACTCTGAATAGACTCGGACAACAAGTCCTGCAACATACTGGCCGCGTTTCTAGTGTTCCCAACGTGATGGCGACTGAACAATGAGGTTGCGTCTGGAACCCATTCCGTTCCCTCTCATTTCAAGACGCTATCAAACAGGGTGGAAGAATGGGATCTAAGTGGGATGGGTAGGAGAGACAGCTACATGATATAAAATGGCAAGGTGAAGTAACGGACGTCACTTAGTATAGTCAGGAAACCCATCACTGTCTCTTTGAGACGTTTCTTTGCGAAGTGCAAAATCAGCTCATCGGCCCCTTCGCATGAAATGTCTGGCAACGCAGAAGCAAGGTCTCACGCAGTCTTCCTCAGCACCAAGCGCGCCAACTAGATCGCCATATGACCAGGTGGCGTTCACTTGGTAATAAGAGTTGCTCCACAGGAGCGAAAGCAAAGCTGGTCTGGTTGAGCCACAGGCTACAATCACTGCAGGGATAGGCGAGCCTTACAAGGGGGTGAAGGGATTCTCGTCGGAAAACACGTTTTACGGTAAATGTGTGATTCTTCCCCCCCCC